CGTATGATTATTATTTTAATTTGATTTAAACTAACACAGAAATTTGATAAACCTAACCAAGTTAACATAGCTAAGGCAGTAATTATGTTTATAATATAATAATAATTGGAATACAGTACAACAATTTGAAAAACAAATATTTGAAAATTGCAAAAACTATTCTGCCTTTTAGGCAAATTAGTCCTTACATAGTGCAGTTCTAGCTATTAGGTACAATATTATACTATATGTATTCAGTTGTGCTTGTAGGGGTTGAGCTTTGGCTCTCTGGTCCTGCCTCTCAACTGTAAATCAACCGGTGTACAGATTCCTGAGCTTATTGGGCTCTAACATACCTACCTTGAGTAGCTTCCATGGATCAACAACCTCCCAGTTGGTCATCTGGTCAACCAGGCTGTTGGACATGGCTGCTCACAGCCTGATGTATGAATCACAGCCTGGGTGATCAAGTATTCTTTGGAGGCGTTTGTCGAGTTCTCTTGAACACAGAGCTATATATATATAATATATATAATACTCTACTGTTCGAGCTCTTCCGATTTATTCTACTGCTTTTTCAGTTTCCACTTTACAGGTACACTGAGCCCTCTCACCTTGTAAAAGAATGCATTTCTTTCTTCCTCGCTTCTGCCTTCGTTCATTGTTTTTGCAATTTCCAAATTCTTTTTCAATACCTCTCTATCATCTTTAGAGAGGTCCCTCCTCAATTTCCACAGTTTTCCTTCGGGATCTTGCTGTAGCTTCTTGGAGCTCTTGAGCACCATTTCCCTCAGAAAGGGGCTGCTCAGCGTTACTCTTAGGGGGTTATCCTTCCCCTTTTCATATTTACCAATTCTTCTGTAACTAACTACGTTCTCTTTAATGGTAAGACCTTCAACAACACTGATAAGTTTTGCCACGTTCTTTTCCTCCGCTTCCTTCCTTTCCGTCTTTGACGCTATGTCCTTCTCTTTGCATCCAAAGATGATAATCGATTTGGTTCGATCGATTGGATTTTGCACCATGTTTGCGTATGTGGCAAATGCTTTTTCGAGTCGCCACAATCACTTGAGGTGCATTGCTTCCCTTGGCTAACTACTTTTCAGTTAAGTCTTTCTCTTTAGTCGAAGAATGATTATTTTAATTTCAGACGTACTCTTCTAGCCTTAATGTCTTATTAAATAACCTATAAATACGTGATTTACGCAGATTATTCAAAGTTGGATTCTTATCAGTGAAAACAAATTAATTTACTTCAATTCAATTTTATCCTAGTTTACTAGTTCACCTGCAGTTATCCTTCTTTACTAGTTCACCTGCTGTTATCTTTGTTTGCTAGATCACCTCTTGTTATCCTAGTTTACTAGTTCACCTGCGGTTATCTTTGTTTACTAGTTCACCTGTGGTTATCCTAGTTTACTGTGACTCCGTGTCAGCAGTCACTGGTGTACATGTAAACTTTGTCCTGTCGTAACCACAACAAAGCTTTTTATGCAAGTCACTTCCTGGCAATTCTATAATAATTTCTCACGAGGCTTGTAAGTAAGGTTGGCGTGAGCACCGGTGTACTCAGTGGCACAGGGAGCGTGAGCCCTGCTGAGCAGTGCTCAATATCGAGCTCTGGGCTGGCCGGCCTCACACGAGACAAAGATGGCGTTCGTCGGTGGCTGCGCACTAAAGACTACTTTATCTCAAATATTTCACCAATTCTCAATCCCGTTCTTCGTTTTCTGCGTGTGTACCGTTGGCCTAGATATCAATAGTGTCCTGCGTCACCACTCGAAGGGAAAATACTGCCTACACGGCTAGATAAGTCATGAAAATGACGGAGCTTCCTAGCGTGGTCTGCTACACCATTGTTTACTCCCCGGACAGGGTTGCCAGATCACAATTGTAAATAAATAAATAAATGTTTATTTAGGTAAAAATATACATACATACAGGATGAGTTATAAAACAGAATGTTGGATTTTTCTAGATAGAGCTAGTACATTGCTTAAAAATTGCAGGTTGACACTGATCAAGATCAAATTGACATTGAATTTCCAAACGTCGTAGTTCCCATCGGTAGGGAAAGCGTCGGCCAAGAAACCTTGTTTAAAATATGAATATCTTTCCTCTCTGTTGATGTGACGACTTATATTGAATTTTGTAACTAGCTCATCATGATTGTAACTTGCTTAGCTAAATGAACTGTGGGGTTCAGTCCCTGAGCCCATTATGTGCCTCTGTAACCCTTTCCACTACCGCCCACAAGATGGGTATGGGGTGCATAATAAATGAACTAAACTAACTAATAAGGTATAATCTCTGTGATGGATTCGCAAAAACTATTTTATCTCTGCGCTTTTGATAACATAAAACAAATATAAGCTTTATTTGTCAATCTCTATTAATTAAGCAATATATCAGAAAGCGTGTAGGGTTCGGTGTTCTATAAGCGTAAACGACACGAGTAGTTTAAGTAGCGAACGCATACCAACGAATGATTTGTGTATCTGTACTCATTGAATTTGTGCGTCCCTTGAGGGACTTGAAATAGATGGGGGTAGAAATAGCCTTAGTTACTCTATCCCTTTGAGATGTATCTTTTTTCTTGTCTCAATAAACATACTTGAACTTGATGTTAATTTGCACTTAAATTCCATTTATCTACCTTCACCCCTTCAGGGTGAAGGGGTGAAGTGAAGTGAATTTTCATTAGCAAGACATTTAATAATACAATCAGAGGTACTTTTTCCTCTGAGGAACCCGAACAAATTACTAGACAGCTGATCACCCATTATATATAAAAGTCTATTTAAAATGATCCTCTCCAACATTTTACAAAACACGAGGTTAAAGACACAGGTCTGTACTCTCCATTGGCTTTAGGGATAGGGATGATCATAGCTTTTTCCATTTACTGGGAATACTGCCCTCTTTATAACTAATATTAAAGAGATCTAACAGTGGGCTTTTCGTCATAATGGCAAGTTCATTAAGTATTTCATAAGTTACTCCATCCTTCCCAGGGGCGGTAGATTTCCCAACTTTAATCGCTGTTATTAGTTCTTCTCTGGTAATACCTGTGCAAGTGACATCACCACTGTTACCTGCTGTAAGTATAAAATCCTTTCTTAGATCTTTCCAAGAATCTAATGACTCTTGTTACAGCGGTAATGAGCTAACATCAAGCTTTGCATGATCAGGATGCAAGATTCTTCAGAGTATTCCAAGAGTGAAGTTTTCTGTCAGTGTAAAGGCTACACTGATCTGCTTCATATTTTTTATAAACTAAATTCATCCTTTCAAAATCATTTAGGATTGGTTTGAGGAATGTGAAATATAGCTTATTGACAGGATCAGAGTACATTGAAAATAGTTGCCTTGCAACATACTTATCACAAAAGGAAGAAGTGATTTGATAATGAGTTGTTCAAGACTCCCACTGCTCTACACTTTATTTATTTATTTATATATATACAAGAAGGTACATTAGGATTGTGAGGATACATAGCACAGTAATTACATCCTTGTAAAGCCACTATTGTTCCTTGCCAACCATTGATAAAGTTATCAACTGTAAGGGATCGTTCCCATCATTTATAAGTCTGTAAATCTCTAGAATCTAGATAACACTCTCCTGAATGAATCTGTGGAACCATCTGTAGCTTTCTCATCATGAAGTCGATGCTGGATGGTAATCCCTCAGATGCATGAGAACAGATTAAATGCAAAGAATGACATGTGCATTTGATTAGAAACAAATAATGGATATTCGTCTTCATCACGTCTTTATTCATGTGTATTTTATATATATATTAAACGCTGAACTGTAATATCAATCCTGACCTCAAAAGCTTCCTAGAAGATTGTAACAGAACCCATGAGCACAACACCAGAAACAAATACCTATTTGATATTCCAAGAGTATGACTTAATCAAACTAAAAATGCTTTACAAATCAAGGGACCCAGAAAGTGGAATGACCTTCCCAATTATGTTAAAGACTGTACCTCTCTCAACCACAGGTACAGTACTTAAGATAAAAACTAAGTACTACCTAATTAACACCATGTAACCTACCTCACCCCCAAAATGTCAACCCATTACAATATTTACAACCCTATTTATTTATTTATTTAAATACAAGAAAAATTGGGTTGTGAAAGTACATATCAGAGTTCTTACCTTTTTCCAAAGCCACTAACACGCATTGTGTCTTGGGCAGGTCACACCTTATTACATCTCTCCTTGAATTATAATCTATAATTATTAAAAATCTGTATCTTAAATTATATTATCACACCCTACCAATAGCCTACACAATCTATACCTATATTTATTATTTTTTATTTATTTATTTATTTATTTATAACCTGTCTATTCATCTCCCTTTGTACAGGCTACAGGTCTAACAACACTGCAAACCAGACATGACAAGGCTTGTCCTATTGAAACTTAAAATACCAAAAAATTTGGAGGATATTGATCAAGACCACTTCTTCAAAAAGTCAGATGTAACGCAAACAAGGAATATCAAACAAATCCTGGTTCTTAAACGATTTGGTGGGGTTGTATTCCTGGGAACATAAGATTAAGGACTTGCCCAAAATGCTATGCGTGCTAGTGGCTGTACAAGAATGTAAGAACTTTTGTATATATAAATAAAAATAAATAAAATAAATAATGGTTTCAAGCTCAATAAGCCACAATGCAGGACAGAAAACAGATGCTTTTTCATTAAGGATTATAAACCTTTGGAACTGTCTACCTATTGAAGCTATGAATTTACCTGAATTTACCTGAGAGCCACAAACACTATTGGCCTTGATGATTCAGTGGGCACAGTAATGGGCGAATGGCATTTGTCGTTTGGTGCAGTGCTGATGGTTAATGGCCGATGGATTTTGATTCTCAATTTTTTATCACTGCTATTAGCAGTTTCCTAGATTTTTTTTTGAGTTATATATGAAGTGGAAACAAGGCATTTGTTTAATCTCTTAAGAAATTACAACATTGGATAAGTATATGCATTCTTTTATGGTAAGATTGGCTTTATTTTTCCTACAGAAGGTCATTACTTCCAGTCAAACAAGTTATGCATTACAGTGATACCTTTCGTAGGACCACAATTCTGCGGGGTGAAATATAAAATGGGTAGAGAAATTATTACAAAAGGGAACACAACACATGTACTGCATTCTTGCCAAAATAACTGACAACAAACAACAGGATTTAAGACTGGTACTCTTTTTTTTTTTATGACTTTATACCCTATAAACATAGGGAAATGGGGTGATGAAAATGATGATGGATCATCCTGGATGAATAAGTAAAATAAAATTATTAATGTACTAGTAATTCTTAGACATCAATAAAAGTAAGACAAGCAGATTCAAGAGAAAAATTTGGAACCCAATCCTGTTCATGTCATCTAATTCAGCAAAAAGATATTTGATGGCCAAAAATCAGTGTCAGGTACTTAGCTTACAACACTAATAATTGTTAACACAAGCAATAAAATATATATTACTGCAGTCTGATGTCATGTCAATAATAACCATTTAAATTTACAAGTCTCAACTTAATACTGTATAGCAATTTTAACAGCACACTTTCAGACTGGCTTTATTTGCTAAAACTGTACTTCCCATTTTCTTAAAAGATTGAAACTCGCTAACCTTCCAATGTATTTACAAATTGAATAATAAAGAAAAGTTCAAACTTTAAAATAAAATGAGAGGTACTGTCCATGACTATCATTTCATTTAAGGATAAGTAAGGACTGTTCCATAAATATATGAAGTCGATGAATTAATTAAAATTAAAAACAAATTACCGTATTGTACAAGTTTGATAATGAATTTTGTAAAATGTACTGTAATGGTAAACATTCTATAGTAAACCATCTACAGACCCGTAAAGTACACTAGACCTAAATAAGACGAATCTCAAGGATACTGCACTTTGCATTATGAGTAGGGGTTTTAACTTGGTCCACAAGAATCTTGAACAACCAGTGAAGTGACTGTACATAATACTATCACAAGGACAATTTCATCATCAGCTCTGATATACACATTATCAAGTCTATTAGTATGCTAACAAGTGTAGAATTTCTTTATAGTGTGTGAGAGGACAAAAGCCTGCAAGGAAAAAGGTGGAAAAAAATAAAAACAGCTTAACAGTATTTGTACAAATTATACATAGATCAATAAACAATCTATAGAGCTTCACAAAAACAATGAAAAAAAAGTTCTGCAATGAATAATGACCCACATTTTTAGTTTACAAAGATTTGATTTTAAAACATCATATTCATTACTATACACTCGCTCACTTGTTCGACAGCTAAATAACCATTAAGCTGACCATTAGGTTTAAGAAGAGCACTGCCAAGCTGTGGCATCACTTGAACAGAAGATTTAACACACTGTATACACTGTAGTGTACTACAGTGACCTATTATGACATATCACAGAGTCAGCATGAGGCAGTGTACTGTGGGCTGACTTGGCCAAGAGTAATCTAGGGCTAGCTTGTCTTCGGACAAACCATCAAAACAAATGGACTAATTACAATATAAATGTTCTATTTTAATGGAACAGATCTTTATGAAAAAAACAATAATAATGAAACTGGTTTTTTACATGAAAGTAAGTTATGGTTTCAACTTGCTCATAACATTTACCTATGTAATCTAGAGTTTCCTAGTGCTCAATCTACAGTTTCACTTGTGTCAGTCTCAATGCACTATGGATAAAAAATTTAATTCTTAACAAATGCAGCATATTCTGAAAATTACAAGCATATACATTTTCTGTCAAGCTGAAGCCAATATGTAATGTTGCATCTGATACATATTAAAAAATTAAAGCAATGCTCTTATCTACAACAAAACAATTTATAAAGACAAGAGCTATTTTCACACTGAACATTCATACAGTTTATATAAAGGACGGTTTTTAGCAAATATGATATCACTGCTATATTGTTGTACCCTATGGCTATGTTTAAAATAATTGGATAAAAATAAAATATAACAAATTTATAAATAAACAATATTTCCATTACATACCCTGAAAACCTTCATTAGCCACATATCCATTAATGACAGAAAATTCTGTTATTACCAGATTTAAGTAACCAACATTGTGTTTAGAAAGCAGAAGAATTTAAAGAGACTACCTATACTTGTGAGGACACCAAGGTGAAGGAGGAAGGAGCCAGCGGTTACTTTACAAGGTGCTAATTATCTATAGGCTTATGCTGACACAGCCGTTCTTACCATAGTATCTTCAAATAGAAAATAAAAATTCATCTGTTGAGGTCCTATCACTTCTATGTATAAAATCTAAAATCTTTTATCATTACAATGCACACATAAATGAGGAGAGGAGATTATATATACATATATGTATATAATTGTCCTTAGTGAATTTATGAGACATGACCACATTAACATAAGTCAACAGCCAACTTCATACAGCCATTGTTCTTCCTCTACTTAACTGTGATGTTTTCCTTTGTGAGGTTTGCATGCATAAGTTATCACAAGATGGAGGGGCATTCTCAACAAATACAAAATACAAATCAAAATTATTAAACAGCACCAGTCATATTGCTTGTATAATCAAGCATACCCAATTGGTCCAGCATTGGAAAGAATCAGCACATATGACTAATAGTTGTAAGTATTTAAATAAATTTTCTAATAATGGAAGATCACAAAATCCAATCAGAAAATAAATATTTATCTGCAGTTGAAATATAGTTTATGTATACCGAGTGTAAACTTGATTTAATGAATGACAAAAGAAAAATATATTCCCTCCACAGTAAGACAATAAAAACCTTGGTAATCAATGCAAGACAAAAAGCGTGAAAAATTCAACATTCAAACTCAGTATCCACCAGCACCAAATGCATACCATCAGTTCAACACAGTTTGTGACATTGCCAATTCTCATTAACTATCACAACTGCTGTTCTGTTGTCAGTTCATCTGTATAACTAGTCATACATTCCAGAGAAGTAAGCACCACTTAAAAATTGGGCAATTTTTCTAAGTGCCCTTCTCCGTCACTCTATACTGAATGAAGTGTGAAAAATGCCATGACATTTTCTGCAACTGCAAACAAATAAATGTCATACTGCATCTCCATAGAACATACCAAATGCACTACAGGATCTGTCATCACTTCAGCAATCACAATGCAATAGAGGTATTAAGTCACATTTTGTCGTGTTTTTCATCACTAATAAGTAGTAAGGTGCTAGACAACACCTGTTTCATCCATAAGTGGTAAAGATGCTGCATCCATGCTATCATTTTTCTTATGGCCTCTTTCATAGCTCATTTCTAAACTGCTTCCTGGAAAAAAAATATATATAAATATACATATGAAATTACCAAATAGGTGTGTGTATGTACTCGCCTAATTGTGCTTGCAGGGGTTCAACTTCAACTCTGATCCCACTTCTCAACTATCAATCAACTGGTGTACAGATTACTGAGCCTATTGAGTAGGCTCTTGTCATATGAAATTGTATGAAGCCTCCACCACATGGGGGCCGGTGGCTAAGTGGACAGCATGCTGGACGTGTAATTCTGTGGTCCAGGGTTCGATTCCAGACTCCAGTGAGAAACAATGAGCAGAGTTTCTTTCATCCTGATGCTCCTGTTATCTAGCAGCAAATAGGTACCTGGGAGTTAGACAGTTGTTACGAACTGCTTCCTAGGGGAGAGGGATATAGTAGTAGTTAGTAACAGTTGATTGATTGACAGTTGAGAGGCAGGTCGAAAGAGCAGAGCTCAAGCCCCACAAGCACAACTAGGTGAATACATCATGTCTTAATGTATTACATGCATCACAAATGCATGTAATGCAAGCACAACAGGCACATCCTAGGAACATAAGGATAAAGGAAAAAATGCAGGCGGCCTATTTGTTAAGGTAAAATGATTCAAACTTACAAGAATACTATCTGGAAAAAAACGTTTCTGCACCCATTAAAAAGTTATCCGATATACAGTGAAACTTAAATTTATATCTCTATATTATGGCAAGCATAAATATTTGCAAAGAATTGGCTATTTCAACAGATTCTTTTCTAATCCAGACCAGAGGCATAAAAATTCTCCAAACATATAGAAGCTGTAATCAGGGCCAAGAATTGCTTACCTGACTGTTTTCTATTTTTGACTGAAGCTCCTTCTGGAATAAATGCAGCTACCATGAGTGCACAGATGACTAACAATGCTCCAAATACAAAGGGTGGACCCGGTACAAGATTCGGACTACTGGTAAGGTGGGGAGTTGTTCCATTGCCTAAAGCAGACCCATTTGGCTGAAAAAGATAAAGAAATTACAGACAATTCACAACAAATGTTATATATTATTCAGTGTTCATGTTTGTAGGAGTGGAAATGTATGCATGTTAATGGGTGTACAGTACATTTATGTGAATGTATGTGAGAGTACTTAATGTGTATACAGAGAGTGAGAGCTTGTTGCTAAATGCTGTACCTGGTGAATGGGCAAGGAGATAATACACCACACATTCACACATGAGCTCTTCTGTTGCCGGCATTGAATATGGAGTCGTCTCCACTGGGATGTGTGTGGAATGAGCAATTTTAGCTTGTCGAGGGCAATGGTGCTCTGTAGCTCAAGAGAGAGCACTTGTCCTGTTCTTTCCATGAGAATGAGAGAAGTGTTAGGTCAAGCCAGGCAAACTCACTGCTCACTTCACTAAAGTAACAGCCATTAAACGCCCATCTACTAGTATAGCCGGGTGTCGTATGTTATCACACATCATTTCTCAACTGTTGATACCATTTCAGAACCATGGAGACCTGACACGAGTTACTTGTGTATTTTGAGGCAAATAACCAATGCTCAGTGCATATCATTGCTCAGCACAGCAGCCATGGGGGTTACAAGTCTAGCCGAGAGTACATCATTCTCTGACATGGGGGTTCTGTTCTTTTGGCCTTGGTGGGCATTTTCTTCATTTGCAACAGTCTCCTTTTCTTGTGAAGAACGAGTCAGTAGACTTCAAGAAAAGTCCTTTGGTTACTGATGCTTGGTTGATCTGGCCAGGGTTGCATCATTTTGTTGTGTCCAGTGGCAGCAATTTGTTGCTACCTGCATGCTAGCACTTCGGCTTCGGTGGATGCTCTTTGGGTTGATCCAGTCTCCATCCCATTCCAAGGCTTTTATTTCTCAGGTTGTCCACAGCTTCACCAAGGGTAGCCAGCCTGCAGTCTATTCCCAGGCCCATGATGTTCACAGCAATGCTGCACTCGCAGCAGCCTTCTCTAATATGTCTTAATCAGGCTCAGATATTCAAGCTCAGGGGTTTTGGCTGAGTATCAGGGTTATGGCAGCCAGGTATTTAGTCAATGTTCCTGACCCTCTTCAGTCCTCTGTTGCCCTGGGTTGTGTTTCCTAGCTGTTGGTCTCTACTTCAACTTAGCGCATGCTGTGTCTCTTCCTCTTTAGTAAGTCCCTCTAATTTTTATCTGTGGTTATTTAGCTACAGTGAGCCACCATGGAGCTCCCCCAAAACCCAGTGTTGAATGTAATGAACATCGCTTTCTGGTAGAGCTCCTGTGGGTCCCTGTCTCCCTCTCCCCCTTCCATGTTCATCGGTTTCTTGCAGTGTATCTGCTCATGAACTGGTCACAACGCTGATGCTGGACTGAGCTCCGGGGCCACCTGGTGGGGGCATTCAGTACTAATGGGTTCTAGCTAGTTTTGTGTCTTTTGTTTTGTTTATTTTTTTTATTGTTTTGGGAGTTGGCAGTTTAGTGGATGAGTGTGAATGAATGATTCACCTTTTGGAATTTGGTATTACGGTACCAAACCTTACACTTGTAAAACACTAAATACCTCTTACACTTTGAAAGAGTCCAGAAAAAATAAAGAAAACCAAAAATAATTTCCTAGGCCTAATATAACACACATGTACTATATTAGGCCTTGGTGTGTACAAGTCCTAGAATGGTTAGGTTAGCATTTATTAGCAACTACAAAATTGTTCTAGTTTATCCAAATTCTACTTTCTAATTTTCCATTGTCACTATATGTACAATGATCCCCATTGTTACTATCTATCACTATCTAAACAGGGAAACTAGCTGGAATACTACACAAACTGTAGCTATATTACATAAAAAAATTTAAATCCATATTTGTTAATTTTATATTGATTCAACTACACATGACAGTAGGACTCATGTCTTTGAAGAATCAACAAGCACAAATGTTGGTAAGTGCTTACAACTAGTGAACAAATCCACAAGGGCCGTGACGAGGATTCGAACCTGCGTCCGGGAGCATCCCAGACACTGCCTTAATCGACTGAGCTACAATCTTACAAGTAGTGTTATGCTTACTCTGTGTGTGCCGTCATCTGCCAAGTCTGGGTTGAGATCCACATGGAAGAGATAAAAGATGAAGCCAAACACCGCCGGCCCCAGGCCAGAACACAGCCCCCTCATACCTGTGATAATACCCTGCACCACACCTGAAGTACAAACAAACCAAAAATTAAAAATAATACTAACAGTAATATTTTCTAACGGCACGATTCATTACCGACGAAACAATAGTATAGATCGTCTTAATTAATATTCATATACTACTTATACTATAATATAATACTATAAGCTAAAGTACTGTAGTATTCATATATCTCTACGTTAATAATTTTACCTTGCCTCTTTTATTTGGATTGTGTGTAATGAAGATGTATCATCTTAATACCTTTAACATTCTTTATCTATGCCATTCATCTTTCTTCTTCTCTGGGCTGACGTGATCTTGCCCCATTAAAGCGAGAAGCAAGGTAATAATACAGTAATGCCAATTTGTTTCTCTTAAAAATCTGAAAAAATTTGTGCGAGACTGTACACCCGAGACTTGGTGGTCTTCTCCACTCCACCTCCACCATGACCTTACACTATCATTTCATCTTTTTTCTATTCCGTTTCCTCACTGTATAGGACGCCAACAGCATCTTCACTCTTTTAATAATGTCCAGTCACCCTGTAAGTAAGTAGTGACTGCTTTACTTCTACAGTAGCCACACTATCATGTTGTATTCTCTGACAGGTGTTTCAAATGATATTTCAAGAACCTTGTAAGGAATTCTGAATGTGTCTACCCACTCAAGATTGAAAAGTTTTGGAGGAACAAGGACTATTCCACATTATGGTTTGGTTGGATAAGGATAATTAAGGAAATTATGCTCTTTCTCTCTCTCTCTCTCTCTCTCTCCTAAACTGGTAAATTGCAATAAACAAAAATTTAAAAAATAATATTAAATATACAATTGTCCCATCATAATTACACAAACTTTTACTCTTTCTCTTCAGCTAATACAATATAAAATCATACTGTTTTGGTAAAAGAAAATTCTACAAATATGACAGTTTCCTTGTGTGCTTGGCCTATATGACAACCCATTTCATTATCTGCCTAATTTGTCTCGCATTCTTTTTCAATTTTCCTTTAATACATTTCACCGCCTGGTTCTGATGACCCCAAAATATGACCTCTTTCTTCGTCTTCACATTTCTTGTTCACTGCACAACCTGTTTCTTTCTAGCTGTCTCAAAACCTGGGGCCAGATTCACGAAAGCACTTACGCAAATACTTATGAATGTGTACATCTTTCCTCAATCTTCAACGGCTTTGGTTCCATTTATTAAACAGTTTACAAGCATGAAAACTTCCCAATCAACTGTTGTTATTGTTATAAACAGCCTCCTGGTGCTTTGAAGCTCATTAACTATTTAATAATTGAAAACAAAGCCGCCAAAAATTTAGAAAAGATGTACAGGTTCGTAAGTGCTTGCGTAAGTGCTTTCATGAATCTGGCCCCAGTCTACCTGATCCCCACCTTGCTTGTCTTCACTCCAGCTACACAAATCTTCAACCACTCTTTCATTATTTTTCAGTTATTTTGTGCAGCTGCTCAAGTTTCATGCATTTCTTTAGCACACTATCCTTGCTTGCAAATTATTGATGAATGTTTTCCATCCCTTTTTTTCTCTAATGTCTCTTATTTCTTCGAGGTCCACTGCCATAATTCCCACTCCTAATTCCTCTAAATTCAGCTGAATTTGTTGTCTAATGTATTAAACTTCCCTTATTTCAATTTTTCATCTCTTTCCATCTCCTTGTCCAAATCTCCTAGTTTCTCCAAAGAGTTACCCATCCCTCATTGTAAATTGTCAAGTAATTCCTTTTATTGTGTTGCAATTGTGTTTACTTTCTACTTACTATCAACTTTCTCTTAATTTTCCATATCTTTCTTTATAAACATTCTTGGTTTGTTCCATTATCATAATATTCTTTTTCTACTCTCTACCTTCATTGCTCTTTTCTCTCATTTCATTCATCTTACTGACACTACAGCATTTGACACAAACTACCAAAAGCAGTATATGATAAAAGGCTGCAGAAGAGACCTTGAGAGGTTATAATAGTAAACTCGTCTGCCAATGTTGGCCAGAGAGAGAAACATGGGATCAAGACAAGGAGCACTCCCCCCCCCCCTCCCCCCACTGATAATTCCTTTCTCCCCTTACACTACAGTGACACTAAACACTGCTTTAATGTCTCTTTTTACCACACAGTACTTTCAATAAGAGAGATTTTCCCATTCTTGGCATTTTCACTAGTTATACTGTATTACTTTGTCATTCTATCTTCTATATTTTTTGGGGGGCACTTGCATTCCGCTTTTTAAATTGTACAATGTACGCTTGCTATCTTCTTGAGGTTATCTTGAGATGATTTCGGGGCTTTTTAGTGTCCCCGCGGCCCGGTCCTCGACCAGGCCTCCACCCCCAGGAAGCAGCCCGTGACAGCTGACTAACACCCAGGTACCTATTTTACTGCTAGGTAACAGGGCCATAGAGTGAAAGAAACTCTGCCCATTGTTTCTCGCCGGCACCTGGGATCGAACCCAGGACCACAAGTCCAGCGTGCTGTCCGCTCGGCCGACCGGCTTACCCTTGCTAAGGGTAACATTTGTTTTTCTCACCTATTGTTGTTTCTCAAGAAAACACAAGTGGCAACTGCTTATAATAGCCAAGCTATTATGTTGAAATATTTGTTAAATACTTCACGTTACAATGAAAGCCTCCATATTGGAGGCTCCTCCTCAGCTGTCAGGGGCCTGACAGCTGAGTGGACAGCACTTGGGATTCATAGTCCTGAGGTTTCGGGTTCTATCCCCAGTGAAGGCAGAAACAATTTGGCAGTTTCTTTCACCCTATTGCACTGTTCACCTAGCAGTAAATAGGTACCTGGGAGTTAGACAACTGCTACGGGCTGCTCCCTGGGAATGTGTAACAAAAAGGAGGTTTGGTCGAGGACCAGGCCGCGGGGATGCTATACCCCAAAATCATCTGAAGATAACCTGAAGATATGAAATGTCTGGAGAAGATTCTAAATATGATCTGAAAAATTGTGGCATTTCTTGAAGGACTGAGGCACAAAATAGATTTGTTATTCATTATCATCATTACTCCATTTCCTTCATTTATAGGGTGCAGAGACATCAGTCTAGAAGAAAATATGAAAACAAAGGAAAAGTTTAAGAGATACTGTACTATAAACAAAGTTAAACCACAACCATCACAACAAATGCATACCTAGAAAACAAGGCTAAATGACTAATTGACAAACCCTGTTTATCTGCATCCGTGTGAGTGCTAACATAGGCACTAATGGCAGGGTAGGTAATGGAAGATATAGATGCCAGAAGACCAGCTGCCCACATCATCCAAATTTTGGAACCGAACCCATACCACATGAGCTGTAGCATCTCAAACACTAGTCCCACCTGTAAGAAATTTTACCAGTATTTAACTAAAGTAACTCTCCAAAAATGCAAATTCTCCTTCAAACATCAACATCAACTCTGACTATGATTTCTAAGAGATGGAAACAAGTGGTTACAATATCCTCATTCCCCTTTAGATAGTAATCTGGGTTTTTTTTTACAACACTAAGGTTATAACAACAATTTTCCTTACCATAATTACATGCTTGTTAGATAGTTTCTTCATGAGGAGGCTAAGCAATGCAGTTTGAGCCACAACAGATAGTATTCCCACTACTGCTATGAAGGTTGCTACCATTTCTGCTGAAAAGTCCATTACCTGCCAACACACAAAAGTTACCCAAGCTTTACACAAAATATTAACACAAATTACAGTATAAAACTACAGTCCAATATGCCAACAAATTTTGCTTTAGTTATGTGGTACCTTTTATGCAGCTTGTCATTTACACAAATTGAAACCATATGAAAAGCATCAATTTCATATACAATACCAGGTACTTTATTTTTGTAATGATCAGAGGCCAACAATGTTGCTTGGCCAATCACAGTCTTATCTGTATCTCAACCAGTCACAGTAAAACAGAGGGCCCCCCCATCCTTGGTCTGAACATCTTAGTTGCTAAATTGCTGAATTGCAATCAGCCTCGTGCTCATCCAGAAGAAGACCCGTAATATTTTTAAGGATTCGAGGAAATTGGATCCCAGTGCTAGTGAGGAAACATGGGAAGTCGTGAATGGCTCAACTGGTTCACAGGAGAGCAAATTTGCATAATTTTAAAGTTATGGGTGAGGCTGCTTGTGCCGTTAACAACTGAGCCACTGATACTCTTGCCATGCTTGTCAAACTAATAAAATGTAGTACTAAGCAGGTATAAAATGTTGATAAATCAAGATACTTTTTGTAAGAAAATATCCAACAGAAATTTCAAAGAATGAGAAGACAGCCTGGATATAAGAGTGCAAGTGCCCACTTAATGCTTTTACATAGAGGAAAGTTGCAGGTGACTGAATTTTAACCACTCCTTTGTATCATTATAAAAATCTTGATGCTTTCAAGGGTGTGTTCAGTGCCAGTGGTGTAGACGAGTGCTCAAAAAGTGTGAATAAGTTGCATAACTACAGAAATCTTTAAAGACTAGTTTGCCAATTATTTTGTTCCAAAAGTGAAAGCCTATTGCACTAAAACATATGCCAATTTGACATTTGTAGACAATTCACCTAGTTCCTCAATTTACTTTGACAAAATGAATAAAAATGTTAAATATTGTTTTTATGCTTCAAAACAATTCATTGACCAAGATGTGAGAAGATCCAAGACCTACACTCACTGAACCTTCTCCAAAGCCCTGAGGTTAACAGACAGCAATTTTGGAAGAGCTGCAAAATTTTGTTTTGTAGTCTGTCAAGAACATGGGGTAATCATGGGATAAAGTTAAAAGGAGAAATATAAATAGTGTATGGGTAAACAATTTCCCCTACATTTGTTAGTGATTTTAAGGGGTTTAACAGATGAAGTTCACAAAGAAACTGGATCTCTGTCAGGAAGAAGACTGCAGGCAGAACTGTTGATTCAAAATTATCCAAAGAAAAAAGCCTTGGAAACAAAAAAGGTTGAAGATGAAATGGCTGCAAAGGTGGTAGAGGAAATACAGTTCCATGAACTGAATGATGACAAACTGATGGAAATATAAAATGACAGGACAAATAGGAGAACTCTTAATAGTTGTGACCTCATTCTGGTTGTATCCCAACAAAAGTACTCCATCACAAACACAATAAATTAAGCAAGAGCATTTCCTCTACATTGTATATGTGAGCATCTTTTTCATCAACAGGTCATGGCTTCAAATGCTAAAGGAAGACCCGAGCATGTGCTCGTCAAACATACAACCTCTGACAAGGGATAATAATGAGAAATCAAGCACAAGTTTCCCACTGATATGTGTATGTAAACAGATTTTGTTATTTCTATACCTATTTATAATTTAAAAATCTTACCCTTTTTATACCTAAATAGAAAACATTAATGCAACATTAAACATTTTCATCATATATTATTTGATTCAAAACCTGATTTTTCATTATGTCATCGAAAAAAGAGAAGGTGTGTGACAGAAAATGACACTCTTTTTAGGCAAATGGAATGCCATAGGACTTATTTTTATAAATAACATCTTATTCAATGATCTCAATTCAATAATATAAGTGGAATAAATATGAACAAACTTTAAAAATAAATCTTTTAAAATCCATGATCAACATTTTTAAAAACCCATTAAATTTTTTCTAATGAACACAATCTAAAACTACAGTACAGTACTCAGTTTTTAATAATAAAGTTGCTTCTTAAAAACTTATTGTGTGCCTTGACCACATTAGTGCCTTGTTCAGTGTGCCGAGAGTTGAAAATCTCGGCACTACACAATTCTCATACCTGCACAGAATAATCTCAAAATACTCAACACTCGTAACCCTTCTAAGTGCTATTTGGCACCAAGGTGACCATCAAGAAGCTCAACTAATCACTATTATCCCATTTATCCTGACTTCCCCTATCAATTTCAGGCTGGTTGAGACTGTGTAGTTGCCCCATGCAATTAGCAAATTTTTTTTTGAGTGTACACATCTCAGTTGTTCTCCTCTGGCTTCAGTAACAAACTGAGTTAAGAGTTGCTATCTCTGTGTTTTTTTGTTGTTGCCGCCGGAGGTGGCTACTTTATTGTGCACTGTGCTGTGTAAACTTTCTGGAACCTATTGCTATGTTCCTAACACACAGTATTTTCCATTAGGACTTTCCCCTTCTCTTAGCTTAAGTGGTTTTCATGGTCTTTTTCTCCTTGTAAGACTGTTGAGCAGTTTGGGTTGGTCCTTGCTCCTACCACTATGGCAGTTTCAAACAGTTTGGCTTTTCTCCTTTCTCTTGTAGACTTATTTTTGGCTCTTAGTGGCTAGTGCCTCCTTGCTGATCTCAACTTGCACTTGTACATTTTTTCCTTTGCTTCAAAGCCCTGTCCTTTACTTTCTTAGGCTGTCTATTGGACCGCAAATTAACACTTCTCATCAACTCTTTACCGAGTAGGATGAACTTTTGCATGGCATCTGGACAGTTCTGGGCTAGATATTTCATCTCATTTGGTGTCTTCCCCTCCAGTTCATTTTCCTACAGGAGACCTCTTGTCTCCCTTCTGAGAATGACAAAAGATATATTTTGTCCTCCTCATCTCCTTGATTTGGTTCTGCCCCTACCTTGAATATGTATTCAAATACTACTATGCAGTGGTCTTTGGTTCCCAGTAACACTGTACCTGTAATTCTAGTTTCTTTATGTCCACTCCCATTTTGAGTGAACATTGGGTCAAGCAAAACTGGTGGATTCTCTCCTCTTGACCTTATTGACTTAGTGACTTTTCTCAAGTTTTTGTCTTGAGTCCACTAATTTCATTCTCTACATTTCATCCACACTATGGAAATCCCTTTATTGTCCAATTTATTTCCCCATTAAAAAAATCAATGAGTATATTCCTCACTCTTGTCACTATTGTGAATTTGGCACAACTTCCAGGCAGTTTTCAACATTTTCCTCATATACTTTCCTGGGAATTTAGCCATTTGGTAGAATGAGGGGGAGGGGGTTGTTTTATATAAACATTATCTTTTTGTTTTCTATTCTCATCCCAACCACTTGGGCTGGATGGTAGAGCGACGGTCTCCCTTCATGCAAGTCAGCGTTCAATTCCCGACCGTCCAAGTGATCGGCCACCATTACTTCTCTCCCCTTCCCATTCCAAATCTTTATCCTGATCCCTTCCAAGGGCTATATAGGTCATAACAGCTTGGCACTTTCTCCTGATAGTTCCCTTTACATTGTCATTCCTATTATGTAGTTCAGCAGAATATATATATCACTGACATGCTTTCATTATTACTCCAATCCAGCCATTAAGGCAACCTTCAACTTGCACAGGGGTTATATTTCCATAAAAGCTGTATCAAGCAAAAACCATGCAAATCAAACTCAAAGGTACTGTACATGTTAAATCTGGGTTATATTCCAGAGAATATTTAATTGTTGCACCTCTGATTTTGTGGTAGTATCAGTATGTAAAGTCTTACCAGCCTGAGGTAGACAATGAAAGTATGTAATATGTAACATCTTACCAGCCTGAGGTAGACGAAGAAACATGAATACTGGCCCGCCTCTGGCAGGTAGGACAGGAAGACCGACACACTGATTAACAGCACATTACGGTCCTTGCTAACTTTCCACAAAGCCTGCAATAAAAACTTTATATGAATATCTGTTCAAGTATTGCATAAACAGAGCAGTGTGCTTACATGTAAGTGAAATATTTTAAGTCTTTAGGTGGCCAGGTTATTACAAGGTACAAGTGCTATTTACTGTACTTACAATAAACAACATGACCATGAAAAATGTATTCCAAAATGAAGATAAAGGACAGACCCAATACAGTTCATGTATAAATGTATTAAAAATACAATTTTCCCAAGTAATCTTATTAATTTACATAAACACAGACCTTGTGATGTCCAGAGTAGGGATAATGATTCCACAGAACCCTGCCCACAGTTCCCAGAAATAAGAATAACTGACTTTTCTTCTGAGACTTCGATATGATTACGATCCCCAAGGACAATGACATCTAATGATAGATGCCAAGTGAGGCATTCTACCAGCTTTATAAGCGCAAACTCCTTGAATCTTGTTCAGAACATTTTATACAGTATATTGCAAATGTATGTGGGTTACATCCGAAAATTTGGTTTTTAATACAGAGAACCTCTGTTAACGAATTAAATCTGTTCCGGCACCGAGCGCATCATGTGAAATGCTCATCTTGTGAAACGAATTTCCCCATTTAAAATAATGGAAATACAATTAATCCGTTCTACCCCCGAAAAACATCAATATGAAATTTTATAACGCAATTATTATACGTGTAATTATTATAAAAGTTTTGTTTTACTGTTTTCAATTGTACTTTACCCTATGAAAAGTCGTTGCTGGCGTGAGGGAGACAATGGAGAGGTGGGAAGGAGGAGAGGGGTTATGGTCTGGAGGGAGAATCCACCTCCGAGTCAGGCGGGCTCTCTCTTGTGAATTTCACCCCACTGGGACCAGGTTGTGGTTCACTATTACTTGCTCATCTTTTCTGTACCTTTCCAAAGAACATATCTATTGACACTTGCTTTTGTCTTCATTTTAGGATGTCCCTAAAACGAGACAGCAAATTGTCATTAAACAAGTTCACACACATCATGCAGTCACTGCTTTATCAGGGTGATGCTTTTCCAAGAATGCATTCACCTTTTCAAACATTCCCAACACTTCCCTGGTCTCACTGGAAGAGGCAGCATACTCCCTTACCACCACCTCCCCTGATGAGAGCTTCCCCATGTCGCACAACACTGTGTATACCGCTTCTCTTCCTAAATTTCTGAAACCATCCCCGACTTGCCTTAAATATCTCCTCCTCTTCAGACAACGTGCCTGGTGTCTTCTTGACAAGTTCACATTTGCGAGAATTTGCGAGAACTAGCGGGAATGCTAGGAAGTACCACATGGTTCCCTTGTTAACCAAACGGAAGCTCGTCAATCAAGACAAATTTTCTGTGAGTGACTCGCTCGTTACCTGAAATGCTCGTAGATGAGGCTGCTCGTCACCCAAGGTTCCTCTGTACACTTATACAGGTATTGGGTCTTTCCTTCACCTTCATTTAAACACTACAGCATTGTAGCAAGTTTCTCTTGCGTTTCCAATTATTAGGTCTAGGCTGCAAAAAGCAACAAAGGTACAGTAATTTGTACATTATTTGTAGATTCTCACTTTGCACGAGAAATGTGTTCCTGGATAATCTCGTATTAAGTAAATTTGCATAAATTCAACTTGTGTGAGAAAAATTTATTTATGTTTCAAAGACCTCTCAAAAACTTTCTACTCTTCTCAGTAAAATATCTGTATAAACATTATTACGAAATACTCTCCCCATTCAGAAAGAAAAGGGGGTGGATATAGGCCTGAGGCTTGGCTATGAAACTAATGGCTATTCTCGACTCTTCCACCACTTTACAGCCACAAATAAGAACAAACAAGATTTTTGAATAATAGGGAGGTGTCATAATGCAAGACAGTAGCCTAAACCAAAATGTTCATAAATTTAAAACACCCTTGTTAGTTCATGGCAAGCAGATCACATCTCACACTTGTCAAACTTTGGTGTCAAATACATCTTTCATTATGTAGGTATCACACCATTTGAGTCTACTTAAATTAAGGGCCAAAAAGTGTAAGTAAATTGGAGAAAAACACTCAAGATGGAAAAGCACTGAGGTCTATGGTAAATTTAAAATAAGAGACACCACAGAGATGTACTACAGTCCGATTGTGGCAAAAAATGAATTCGTGCCGTGTGTAAATAGTAATGCAATACTCTTCCTTTACCCTTAGACTGCAAATCACATACTGACAGTACAACACGAGGGTACACAGGATCACACTGCAGCACACTGCATTATTGATGTTTCTCACTAAAGAATTTAAGGAGAGTTAAATTTAGTTTATGAACATTTATAATTTTGATGTACAGGTACTGACATCTCTCTAGCTAATATAATAAAAAAATAATATTCAAAGGATATTGTATAGGTGAAACTACTCCCAAGATACAGGGGATCACCTACTGTATCAACTGTTCACCTTAACACCTTCATGCTTACATTGAATTCCCTCTTATTTGAGAATACTGTAGATCAAGTGTTAGTATAAAAGTGTTAAGCAGTTGTCATCTATTGCGCAGTTTTATGCAAATGAATCAGCAAAGGCGGGATAATTATGAACTTTGTCAGACTGTTTGCATTTTATGGTCAAGGGTAGCATGTGGGTACCTTGAAACAACTTTAATATTTTGTATACAGTGGAACCTTGACTTACGAATGCCCCTACTTAAAAAAATCTCGAGTTACGACCCCGATGTTATTGAAAAATTTGACTCGACTTACAACCTTTGCCTCGACTTGCGACTTTGTTGATACTCATATGGGTCAACGGAGCACGTGGTTCATGATGGCACGGGCGACCCCCTTCAGTTTACCAGACCACCCACTTAGTGACAATCGTGCTTGAATTCTTTGTAAAGAATTTCATTGTTTGTGTGCTTTATTATTTTTTTATAACATAAAAGTAATTATTATATATCACACCATAGGGTCCCAAGAAAGTCAGTGGTAAGGTTCAACCTAAGAAATCACATGTGAAGATCACCATAGAGGAATAACAAGAGATCATTCGTAAACATGAAGATGGTGTGCAAGTTGTTGATCTAGCTAGGCAGTACAACAAATTTATATCAACAATATCCACCGTACTTTCTATGAAAAAGGACATTATGAGTGCTAAGGTGGCAACAGGTGTATCAATACACCTTTTATAAGAAAAAGTAGGGAAAACAAGTTTTTCCCAATAATGTAGGGAAAGGTTCTTAGTGAGAAAAGCAAGCAGCGAGCCACAACCAGGGCCTAGTAATATGCAGGCAAAACGTAGGAGGGTATCCCAGAGAAGTCATCACTGTGTGATGTTAACACTTTCGCGCTATCTGGATAACGGAAGTCCTCTTTTAAAATATTTGTATAAAATTCAATTTTTATCCGATTTACTTTGGGTTTGGACTCCCCTTCCAAACGGTAACATCTCTCTTCCTGTTCCAGCGTTGTTTTATATTTGGCGCCCCCCCCCCCTCCTCACCATCTTCCATACGCCAACAAGAGTCATCAATAAAGGTAAGCTATAATTTGTACATACTATAGTACAAAAGTGTGTATTATGTATGAAATGTATTTTGAAGTTAATATTTTTGAGTGTGAAACGGACTAATTAAAATTTATATTATTTCTTGCGGGAAAATTCGTTTTGAGTTACAAATTTTCAAGTTACGACCCGTCTCTTGGTGTTGGAAATAAGCCAACATTTAATTGTCATTTGTATGCTAAGCACAGCATTTATTAACATTACTAACTTGTAGAACTAATTGAAATTAATATTTTCCCTTCTGCGTATTATTTGCCAAATTCTTCCTACTTGGCATGGCAATATTGTGTCACACAACTCCGCAGAGGTATAAATATTATCTACATATTAGAGAATTAAGTAATATTCTCACTTTCTGTCAGTATTCTTTGTAAGAATTATTAACTGACAGTATAGCAACCAGTAATCTGATATTAGCGTGTTATCAGCTAGAGATCACTATCTAACAGTTAAATTGTTAAATTATTATATTAAATTGTCATGGAGGAACCAGAAATTTCCCTCCATTTCTCATCTAATAAGAACCTTGTTCATATTAATTATCACCTGACGAGAATTTATATAATATCTAACTCCCTGTAATGTCAACCCCATTTTTATTGTCTCATTAAGGAGAGCAATTATAAGGAAAAGAATTTTCCATTTCTGCTGAAACATGTTCATGCCTGCGTGGGCGAGATGGGGTAGAGGGAGAGAGGAGCAAACATTCGAGAAGAGACCAGCGTCGAGTCTAGAACTGGACGGGCTAACGTTACGTGCTCATACCTAGCACGATAAGCGACCATTTTCACTTATTCAATTGGCCTGGAGCACATCATTTAACGGACCACAACGATTGCTGGTGACTGCTGTGACTCCATCAACGATCATATGATCGTTTCGGCGAACACCTTTACGGTTAAGTGGTATAATCATTTTGTATCAGAGCTCTATACATTAATTTTTATTCTTGTTCGTCGTTACACCGTATGCCCTCCTCTAACCACCAAGTGAGTTCCCAAGTGAACTAAATTTATTTTCAAATTCATTAATAGTTGTGTAAATATTTGAGCGTAGGCATCCTCTACATTTTACTGGGTTTGCAGCCTGTAACGAGTCCGCCCGAGGAGAGATCAACTCCCACGCCATGCGTGTTTCAGGACGCATGTTCCAGCAAGTTCCAGACGAGGCTACCCCACACGCGTACAACTATTCTCAATCACAGCTAAGCAGCTGAGATTATTTTAGTACCTTTACTAACAGGGAGCCGGTCGGCCGAGAGGACAGCACACTGGACTTGTGATCCTGGGTTTGATCCCAGGCGCCGGCGAGAAACAATGGGCAGAGTTCCTTTCACCCTATGCCCTTGTTACCTAGCAGTAAAATAGGTACCTGGGTGTTAGTCAGCTGTCACAGGCTGCTTCCTGGGGGTGGAGGCCTGGTCGAGGACTGGGCCGCGGGGACACTAAAATCCCAAAAATCATCTCACAATAACCTCAAGATAACCTCTTATTAACTATTGAGATTCATTATAATATCCATTTATTATAAATTTATTATGTCATATAATTTCATACATATTTTTCTTAATACTGTACTATACTAACAGATTTGATATGAATAATTATCTTATCTGATGGTAGTTACTGCATTATTCTTACCATTGATTAATTCTTGTTCTACCATGTATAATCATTGATTTTATAGAACATTTACATAATACTTATTTCATATATTTTCTCAATAATTTTGATTAACCCATTGATGATGAACCAGCATCAATTATTCGTACTAGGGATGCATTAGTTTCTAGTATTAACCCCAATGCTTGTGAAAGTCGAACTCTTAATTGATTAGTATAATTACAGTTCATTATTGCTCTCCAAATAACCTTTTAATTATTACACCATCCATTAGGTACTGATACCTAATCTCAACTTATTATTTCATTTATTTATTTCCCTCTTCCTTTATAAGAGGGTGGTCCTTCGAATATTTTTATTTTAGTTAATTAAATATTATTTACATTAAGGGGCTTCCAGTCAGTTTTTTAAAAGTTGTTCAATGTCAACCAATATTTTTTGACTAGTTGTGTATGAAAAGGGCTGCAATTGTTCCAAGTTTCAGTACTGCAGCCTAAATAGTAAGCGAGATTTTTTTTTTATGTTTTACAACAAATTTTACACATTTTCAAGTGAAGATTTACAACCACACCTTTCAGATATAATCATTCTATGACACTTTTCTGACACATTAGCATATAATAAAGGATATGTAGATGGGGATTTTCCAAAACGTCTTTAGTTTTACTAATACAAATAGTCAAAGTTCCCCCAAAAATATTATGCAAATATATCATGTTTATTGCTATTTATAAAATCAATAAATGAACTTAGGAAAAAACACTTCCTTCAGACTTTAGAGACAAACTTTACATATAAAGTTTAAGTTTCATGTAAATTGAATAAAAAATGAAAGATATTTGAACGTTTATGTTAATTGAAAATAAATAAGTAAAAAATAAAGTCTAAGGTGTTGCCATCTGTGACTTGAGGTTGACATCAACCAATTTCCTCCAAAATTGGCATCCTTACAGATAGGCTTACGCGCAGTCAAGTGTATAAGTTTCATGCAAATCGCCCGATAAACAAAAAGAGAGAGAAAAAAAAAATATATATAACTAAATATTTTTTTAATAAAAGTACTTATAATTAGTTTTTAATATATGCTATTGTGATAACTGAGAGTCATAGACATGATTTCAGTTGACACTTTTGTTTTATAATCGTTTTTGACCATTTTGGAAATTTTTTGACAATTCAATATTTTTTTTCTCCCTTCCTATTTATGCTACGATGCTGAGACTTGGACCAGATGAAACCCTTTTCATATACAACTTGCCAAAAAAGTTTGATTGAAATCGAACCAGTTTTCATTTATTGCATATTTGAAACTGACGCCCCCCTTAAAGAGTTAGATTTCCCACACTGGGAAATGATTAAATTCATAAATGGAGGTATCACTGTATATACTTCCTCTTTTGCCTTTTGTACTGTAAAGTCTTTTGAAGGTATTTTTATCTGTTAATTGCCTGCCAATTTTTATAAGTTGACAACTACCACAGCCTGCCCTGTGGCCAGCCTTTTCTGGCAATTGACTGGTTTGTGAGGTTGCTCGTCTTTGAAGCCCACAGACTCGTATATCCTTCACATCCAGGTTAATCCATTAACTCCAATAGAAACTTGACAAGTTACCTCCTGAAAATTTCCACTTCTGTTCCAGTGATACATTTTATATTTGTTGACAGGAGATTAAAAAGTTTTAGATCACGGCTGTTTACATAGCTTTCCAGTTGTTTCTATGGCAACTAAACTGTTCATGGGATTGATTTTACACTCTCCATATGTTATAATTTGTTGTTTTGGTTTTAAATGTGACTTTCTGGTACTTTCCATGTATATACTGTACGATGAAAACTCTCCTCTCTGTTGCAAGGAAAACAGTTTGAGTGCTCTGAGGTGGTACAATAAGTTTAAGAGCTCGATAGGTTCAATCCAGCCAGTAAAGGACCTCTTAATATTTTAAAGACCTAGATAGGGAGGGTCGCTGGGCACCAACCCTTAAAGTTTGTCCCTGTTCATTCTGTAGTAATTAGCAGTCTGGTTGCAAATTGACTGGCAGGTCATTTCCCACAACTTGTAGGGCAAGGTTCAAGATGAGTTAATGGAAAGTAAAGCTATAAGCCTGTTAACACACGTTTGTATTATCTACTGTCATCAAATGTGTAAAAAAGAAAAAGAAACCTTTACTGAAGTAGAATCTAGGAATTAAGCCGTATTCTATACAAGACAGCACCAATGCTTAAAAGAACACCACCTTCTTGCAAACAAATTGATTTGTGCAAATAAAGTTTAACTTACACTGCCCCTATTAGACAAGATGGTAAAAAATAAAATCCAGAAAATTGTAATTCTAGGATTTGCTTGACCCAAACAATTCTGTATTTTTATATGCTGTAAATTATTATTAGTAAAATGAGCGTTATTTACCGAGAAAGGGTCAGCTTGTTCCCAGGAGATGTGGGCACTCCATGATGATGATAATCTAAGCTTTTCTGGTAATGACTCAGGTACTGCCACGAGAATGAAGAAAACGTCCAATATTGCTATAGCTGTTGCTAGACCAACCACAAGGTCATCACTGTGCACCTGGTGACAAAAAAATACAAATGTTATGGCAAGAAACTAAACCTGTCTAATAATCGTCCCAGCATTGACTAGCCAATGATTTATAAATTTATGTAACAAATCTAAATAGTTTTCTTAGTATCAGTACTGCTAGTCAAATTATGTATATTGCTTGAAGTTGATGTCATTAATTCTTCCTGCTAATGACAATTTTGCTAAAATGTATACATTGCCAAAACTGTATATTAAATGTCTAAATTATCACACTTTTTTTGTACAAAACTGACAGTAAATGTAGATTTTTATTTTGTAATGCTTAGGATTATATACTTATTTAGTATAATGACACATAAATGCTTCCTCACTTTGCCAAGGTAAGCTCCTAATGCTGGTGAAGTGACCAAGCTTGCTGCAAAAGTGGCAGAGACCAAGCCGTAGGCACTGCTACGTTCCGATTCATCGGTTACGTCCGCAACATAAGCAAAAACAATGCTAAAAGTAACTGCAAAGACGCCCGACATGCTGATGAGAGCGAAGTACCACCTAGAATCATAGAAAATGGAAATAAAATTTTAGATATTATATGTAAGTCTGCAGGACATGCTTATCAAAGTTTAACAAAGCCTTTTTTACACATTAATTTTAACAACAAATATCTACAAGGGAAGAAGAGTAAATTCACCCATGAAACATAGGGGTCTACAGATCTTAGTTAGTTTCATTCATTTATTATGCACCCCATACAAATCCTGTTAGTAGTAGTAGTAGTACAAAATGTTTCAGAGGTAGAATAGACTCGAACAAAACCCCCAATGTTCTACAGATGAGAACATTGAAAGCATTACTGGTTAACCAAACAAACCTGGGTTAGTTGTGTTGGGCAGATAACCTGGCATGTACCTTGCAGTATGGGAAAAATTAAGTTAGGATGACCAAACCACACATCAGAAGATGAAGAAGTATCTTCACTTTTCTTTATTACAGAAACTTTACTTTTTCTTCTGACGTATGGTTTACTCATACCTTCAGCCACATGATTGTGACTCGTCGTCTTCGGTTGGTTAATAATTAAAACCAACAAAGCTGCTTTAATGAATGCTAAATACACAAATACACTATTGTAAGCGAATTAAATTTATTTTCGTATCTGCTCAGCCTTGCATTCTTCGACTTGTTCACTGCTTGATTACACTATGCTCACTATCATATTTTGTTGCATAAACAATGAAGTTGACACCTATACACAAGTAGGTTTGGGGATAAAGTGTTTAGAGAAATTACTGACTTGGAGAGAGTGCAGAGATGTTTTACTGCCCAAATCCATTCAATAAACCATGTAAATTACTGGAAATGCGCATCTGTAAAGCTGTATTCTCTAAAGCACAGGCGACCTACCTTGAGGTGCTTCCGGGGCTTAGCGTCCCCGCGGCCCGGTCATCGACCAGGCGAGAGAGAAGCATAGTAATTTAAACTTGGAAATTATTAGAGGGACTGGTTCTAAATCTGCACGTTGAAAAAACAAACAAGACAGGCATGGCAGAAAGTGCAAAATAGTCCTGTTGGAAAGAGGTGTAATAGGCATGCTACTAGACAATTCTATCAAAATTAAGGGATCAAAACTTTTGAATGCCTGTTATGGCCTGGTTGGTCTACATTATATAAAACAAGTCGAAAGGAGAGGGAAGTACAAGCGCATGAACCACTGGTGTCCGCATCATTTTTTCTGGTGCTGCTCTTATTTCTGCTCTGCCGGCCCCACGATTATTTGCGTAAGTGTAAACTACAGAACTGGATATATTTTGGACTTTGGGTCTAATAAGTGAAGTGTTACTACAAAGCCAGTAGGATGATGGAATTGTGTGATATTTATGTATTATTTGGTAAAGTTGGCTGGAAGCACAGGACGGTTACTGTACGATACATTGTTTAGGTTCAACGTTGCCGGGAGAGGAACAGGGAGGTTTACGGTAATTGGTCTGGATCCATGCTAGAGAGAGCTGCAGCAATCCCATTTCATACATTGATATATAAATTAATATTGATACATTATTGTTCTTTCATTCTGTACCATTAAGTTCTATTATTATTTGTAGTACAGTACAATATTACTGTATGTACATATGGAGGCAGTGTAATATTGGTATCTTATATAACTTTAAGGGATTCCATTGTGACTGTTTATCGTGGATCTTTGTTCGTACTGTAGTATAGCGGGGTTTAATGAAAACTATCAATTTTAAATTGAAACAATTTTTAAATTGGTTGGACCAATTTTACTTTTCCAGTGGGGCTTGATCACACTCCATCATTCCTGTGGAAAATGGCATCTTTATTATTAATTATGAGGAAGCACTGGGGGTCCGGGTCTGGGGTTGGGTCAGGTTGTACAGTATATATCCTTATCATTGGTATATCCTTATACTGTACTGTACATACACGGTACAGGGATTGGTTAGATTTTGTGGTGGGGTGTCAGGCTTACCACCGCTCACATCTCCTGTTTGACCTCAATCTGGCTCTGCACACTTTCACGTGTTTGGCTCAGGTCATGGTGACCCATATTCAGCTCTTGGGTGTTCGTATGTTGGCCTAATTTGATGCCTGGCTGGTTTGGGCTCCCAGCCCGTTCTTGTATCTGATAGCCAGGGATCTGGTCCTTTCCCAGCTTGCCAAGTTTGGGTTCCAGAGGAACCGCGAAAGTTCCAGTTGGTTTCGGCCCAGGTTCCGACTTAGCTGGGCCTCATTTAGGACGCTGTTGGCATCTCTATACCTGCCTTCAACAGCCTTGCCCTAGCTGCAGCACCGCTGTCTTTTGGTGTCGAGTTGGCCTCAGGTGACTTGGCAGTTGCTCAAGCAGCTGTGCAGAAGCCTCAACTTTACCCTCCTTGTCTATAAACTGGGCAAAGTTTGGCTTCAGAGGTTGTACTGGTTCCTCAGTGGCACTCATTTTCACCACTGCCACAACCACTGGGTGCAGACTCTGTTGCCCCTGTGTTGGCTGTTGTGTCCCCAGCTTCCTCTTCAGGCTTTTCAGGGGTTCAGTCCCCTGGCGCCTTCCTCCACCCGCACTCAACGTCTTTATGGATGCCTTGGCTGTCGGCCATGCTTTGTCACTAGCGACTATCAGGCTGGTCAGGGGCGATGATATTCCCTTGTTCGTTGAGCACACAGTACTGTGTGCCCAACGTACAATGCAGAACATCATAGCTGTAAACAGCCACATAGTACAGTGGCTCTGTGGCATGCACCGAGGAGGAACTGGATTCCTCCTGGAATCTTGATCGGCATGTCATGCTGAATACTCTCACCTCATATCATGCCGTGCTGGTGGAGCCACTGCAGCTTGTGTTCGGAGTCAATACTGCCTTGGCTTTTGTTTCGCAGGCAGTCTTGTGTGCTATTTCACCTGTGGTTTGCTCATGTGCTGCCAGAACCAGCTTGATCTCTGGACCAAATGCTACATTTTATGTATTCCGCTCAGGTCACTGTGTCCGCCCCAACTCTGTTCACTGACCGATCTGAGGTGGGGCATGGGACCCTGAGGAAGTTTCATTGCTCCAGTAAGACAAGGATTAACCCAAAGTTATAATGTCTTGGCTGGCAATGTTTGAAATTAATAGAAAAAACATTGTGAAGCTTCCTGGGGAAGTTTTGGAGTGCTAGAGCTGCAGGTTGCAGACAAGACCAGCTCGAATTCATGATCACTCGAATTCTCCTCAGCCCCCACTGGAAGACGAGACTAAGGAGCCAAGTGACGGCTTGCAAGCAGCTTCCCTCATTTCTTGGTGAGACCCGGCAAGAGCACCAGGTGGTGCTGCCATATTACGTAATATTTCAAGTGTTGCCAAAGTTATACCTTTTTTTTATTTTACTGACCTTATGTGAATGTATGTTTATTATTAAATGTTTACATAGATTTTATTATTGAGTTTCATGTCATCCACTCTTCACTTTCCAATTACTTGCCTAGAGCAATGAGATGAACATAACTACCTAACATTGTGCCAAGACATCCATCCACCTTAGAATTTAGACGAGATTCATGTTGCAGTGTGGGGAGAGGCGTCCAGCAAGAGTAACGGGTGTGCAGCCTAGTCCCCCACACCACATTTATTTGGTGGCAACAGGAGAGCCAACCAAATTGGCAAACTTGCTAGTAGACGTATATTTGTGGCCACTAGGTACAGGAGTTGGCGAGCCCTGAGAGCAGCTCTGTATGAGAAGAGGCTGCAATAAGGCAACTCCTGGCCTTTATTCTACTCATCACGGAGGAAGAGACTTGGAGAGAGAGACTCCTACAAATGTCACTGGGATAACTTTGATAAAAGTGGTACCTGTGGAGGAATAACACCATGCCACACAGTGGAGCGGGATATGGGCTGTCCCCCCTCCCTCCTCCCCCCCAAACGAAGGTGTGGGTGGGATGAATGAGCGAGCGCTAATTTTGTAACATTTTAGATTGTTTACATACTTTGGGGAGTTCTATGGCCGTTTTCAAGCCTGCAGGTATCGAGGCAGCCAGCTATGGTTTGTTTTGACCGAATTACTGGGCATCTTCTTCGGTGGTGGCATAAATGAATAACTTAATATAACAATACCACAGGTCATTGTGCCTCTTGTAAAGGAACCAGGTTCTGGCCGAGTCCCTGGAAGGCCAAAGAACTCCACGACTCATGGCACCTAGTACAGTGGTACCTCGGAATACGAGTGTCCCTGTATACGAGTTTTTCGGAATACGAGCAGGATTTGCTCAGAAAATTTGCCTAGGAAGGCGAGGGTTGCCTCGGAACACAAGTTTGTTGATACACGTACAAGCCGACTAGCGTGTGGTGGCACGGCGATCGCGTCTCAGTTTACCAGTGTCTCGCGCCCAGTGACTATCCCGCCTGAATTCTTCAAAAGGATTTACAGTTTTTTGTCGTTTTTTTTGGCCATTTGAGCATAAAAGTTGTTATTATATATCTCGCCATGGGTCTCAAGAAAGCCATTGGTAAGGTTCAACCTAAGAAAATAGCTGTGAGTAGAGGCAGTAGAGGATGTCCCTTCTTGATTAAGAAAATGAGTGAAGTATGGGAAGAACTGCAAAGTTTTGTTGAAAAAACTCACCCAGATAAAGCTGTAGCAGGCCATTGCATTGACCTTTTAAATGACAATGTGATGTCTTACTACAGACAAGTGTTAAAATGTAGGGAAAAACAAGTGTCCTAGTGGTATGCAGGCAAAATGTGCCAGAGTGCGCACACCAGTGAAGTCCTCACTGCCTGATGTTATAATGGAAGGGGACTCCCCTTCCAAACAATAACACCTCCCTTCCTCCCTCCTCCTCACCATCTTCCATACGCCCACAGCAGTCATTAGCAAGGGTAAGTAATAACTTGAACATAGTTTTGTAGGTTTATTTCGATGAATTAGGTATAAAATTTAGTTTGAAGTGAGGTGTTTGGGTAGTCAGGAACGGATTAATTCATTTCCCATTATTTCTTATGGGGAAATTAGCTTTGGATTACGAGTTTTCGGAATACGAGCTGTCTCCAGGAACGGATTCAACTCTTAAACCGAGGTACCACTGTAGATGGCATCTACAGCGGAGATGGTAGCTTCAGGGAGCAACCACAGCTCACCCAAAAATTGTAGTTTCATTACATTCAACATCTGGTATTTTCTGCTTACCCTTAGGTAAGGAGAAAAGGTGGTAGCTCTTGCCACCAACTTATCTTACCCAACAGTTCCTTTCATTCTTTCACCAGCTTGTACAACTCTACACACTTTCTTGCCATTCTTAACCAAATATTTCATTCGTACATCACCACCTGACACTAAGAAAAATTTGTTCACAGTCTCTTTCTAATATCACTAAACTCTTCTTTATTACAGTACTTATCTACATTAAGAGCCAGTTGATTAACTATTTGATATGCATATTAATCATTTCAGGAATATGGTCTCTTGTGTTAAAATATTGGATAAATTGTTATACATCTAATACTTCATAATATAAATTCCCATTTGCATCAAATGATTTTAATAACTCTTGCTCTAGAGTTTTGTGACCTAATATTTATACTGTGTAAACAAATGGAATCCATATTACAGTACTTCTTTTTAAAGAAATCTATGCATTTCCATATTAAATATATTGTAAATTTATCTTACAGTTAGTAAACAAAGATCTATAAATGCTTTTTTGATGTACTTTAGTGAATTACACTTTAATCAAGAAAAGGCCAGTGATAATATAATATACAGGGTATCTAAATTATTATTGCAGTAAAAGTAATGTGTTCTCAGACATAACAACATTGGATCAAAACCCAACCCATAGGATAAAACATAGGATCGAGATGGGTTTTTATCCTATCTCAAATTATTGATATAGCACAGTCAAGTTAGCCAGATTATATACAAGAATGAGAGTGGCACTCACCATGTGTTGATCTTCATGAATGGGATGGGGAGGCAAGTGAAGAAGACGGTGATAAACAGGAAGAACTTGCGACCCCATAAGTCTGAGAGTGCACCAATGAGAGGAGCACTCAGGAAGGACAATATTCCCTGTAAACACAATACTTTAATAATAAGCAAACACAATGATTAATTATATTTAAATTTATTACTAAGAAGTTACTGTGACTCTACAATAAGCGAATGTAAAGCTAATGAGCATATTTTGCACAAAATGCTTTGCGTAATAGTAGCTTCATTAGTATGTAACTCCTGTCCCTACAATTGTACATTACTCTTATGTTTCTGTATATACATTCTTTTAAATAAACATTGATTGATTGATTAAATATTCAGCCCAATAAATATTTTAACAAAAGTGCTTAAACTTTCATACATCATTACACAGTACAGTATAATTACACAGTACAGAATACAGTATGTACGGTGTGGATTTCATCTCATACTTGATGTTTAATATATAAGGCAAGTTGCAAGTTAAAACAGTCTGGAGCTGTCTACTACAAACAGTTTGAAGACAATAATATGGCTAAGAGCTCAGCAGTACTATACATTAAAGAACTGAGGCAGTGAGCAAACAACACCAGGCAATCTGCTGAGGGTGTTCTGGAAGTTCTTCTACTTCCCAGGCTAGGCCCAGGGCCAGGCTTGACCTTTGAGAGCTTGGTCCAACAGGGTGTTGCTTGGGCCAAGCAACAGCCTGGTCTGCAGGCCCGCAGGCCAACATATCCTCCACAGCCCAGTTGGTCTGGCACTTCTTGAAGAAAACTATCAAGTTTTCTCTTGAAGATGTCCACGATTGTTCCGGCAATATTTCTTATATACTTGCTGGAAGTATGCTGAACAACAGTGGACCTCAGATGTTTATACAGCTTTCTCAGATTGTGCTTATGGCACTCCTGCTCTTAAAAATAACGTTGCTTTTTGCTCGTATGCGCGATATGGGCAAAAATGGACATAATTTGAAATAAAATCGGCTCACAAAAGTGCTGTACTGTCCCGTTTTCTGTTTGAGTCCTCCGGCTTACTCGGTAAAGTTAGAAGAGGAAACTTTCAATTAATGTTTTCGTGACATTTTAACACCTTAGGAGAATTTCCTGCCCTCCTAACCTACCAGAGGACCATTAACTTACTGTTTTGGAAACAAAAAATTCCAAAATTTATTTTAAATTTGTTTCATTTTCAAATTACGTCCATTTTCGGCCATACGGGCAAACGGCCAAATTCAGACATAATTTGTAAGAGAACAGGTTGCAACCTCTTCACTGGTTATATTCTGCATTTTCTTCCATATCGTTCACTCCAGTACGGTGTTATTTTACGGTGTAGATTTGGAACAGTAGATTTGACCCTCCAGTATTTTCCACGTGTATATTATTTGGTATCTCTCCCGTTTCCTTTCTAGTGAGTACATTTGGAGAGCTTTGAGACGATCCCAATAATTAAGGTGTTTTATCGCGTCTATGCGTGCCGTATATGTTCTCTGTATTCCCTCTATTTCAGCAATCTCTCCTGCTTTGAAAGGGCAAGCGAGTACTGAGCATTACTCAAGATGGGACAACACAAGTGACTTGAAGAGTACAACCATTGTGATGGGATCTCTGAATTTGAAAGTTCTTGTAATCCATCCTATCTTTTTCTGGCTGCCGCAATATTTGCTTGGTTATGCTCCCTAAACGTTAGGTCGTCAGACATCATTATTCCCCGATCTTTTACATACTGCTTTCCTACTATGGGCAGATTTGATTGTGTTTTGTACCCTGTATAATGTTTAAGGTCCTCATTTTTACCGTACCTGAGTACGTGGAATTTATCACAGATAAACATCATGTTATTTTCTGCTGCCCAGTTTCGACGCAGAAAATCAAGTTCAAGTACTGGATGAACTTGAACTTGAAGCTCCCACACTACAGCACTGAATGACCAGTCATGAGATATTTCACACCAAGCGGTATGAGATGCCTGGAATTTTTCAATCACTTTATAACTCTCGTGTACTGATGTAAATCAGTACAATGGGCCACAGAAAATAAAATGGTATTTAATAAATATAAGTTCCAGCTCCATGGAAAAAAATGAAAATTTAAAAACGGAAACAAAGTACAGTACAAAACGCAGCCAAATCATACAATAATAGAACGTAAAAGGATTTGGGTGTGCTCATGTCAGAAGACCTTACCTTTAAAGAACACAAGTCATGTGGTCAGGGTGAGCTAAATAACTGTGGTGGTGGTGGTGAGGCTGTGGTAAATAACTGTGGTGGTGGTGAGGCTGTGGTAAATAACTGTGGTGGTGGTGAGGCTGTGGTAAATAACTCCCACAGCTTGGAGTTAGCTTACCCCCCCCCCCCACCCTCTCAATACCTTGGAGTAGGCAGCACGCTATAACCTATAATTATGATGCCACAAATATGAAAATATTCGTTATAGCATCACTCCCATGACACCATGGTGTGATGAACCCATGATAAGTTTGTTTGTTTTAGTATAATTTAAACATTTTCATATTTACATAAAACTTCATACAGTTGTGAATATAAATATTCATATTTTACATGAAAAAACATGTTGTCTCTTGTTTCTCCATTAGTATAATTAAATTTCTTCTTCCTCTCTTCGATAAAATTTGTATTTTTTCCTTCCCTTAGTGACCCCCCCCCCCCATCGTGAGGCTTTTCCCAATTCTCCCCCATACGTTCCAATTTCTCTTATGAAATTTAATCCTTAGCTCCATCCTATTCCAATTCATGTTCTTTCTTTATTATGCACCCCATACCCAAGCCGTGGGCGGTGGTGGAAAGGGTTACAGAGGCACATAATGGGTTCAGGAACTGAACCCCCATGTTCGTTTAGCTGGGCAGGTGACAAACTTCTGAAGTTCAGTTTCAGATTTAGCTACTCCGAACGAAGTATCCATGTAGCACGGGCTATGGTGAGCCCCATCTTCTGAAGCTAGTTACACAATTATTAATGTTACATACACCTGTGTGTGTATTCCCCTAGTTGTGTTTGCGGGGGTTGAGCTTTGCTCTTTTGGCCCGCCTCTCAACTGTTACTAACTACTATTCCCCCCCCCCCCCACACCACACACACCCCAGGAAGCAGCCCGTAACAGCTGACTAACTCCCAGATACCTATTTACTGCTAAGTAACAGGGGCATCAGGATGAAAGAAACTCTGCCCATCGTTTCTCGCCGGGACCCGGGATCGAATCCGGGCCCCACCGGATCACGCGTCCAGTGTTCTGTCCGCTCAGCCGCCGGCTCCCATATACGCCCACAACCACCCCAGCATCCACTTACCGCCCACCGTGAAATTAATCACCGCTGACCTATTTCTCGCATGGCGTTCTTCGGCTTGTCTCCATGTTCTTCGTGAAGGAAAACTTTACTGTGCGGGTGGGCTTCACCTTGGCTGATCGGTGTTGGGAACACACACATTCCGCCCCCACCCTAACAAACCCAGAATGGGAGGGAGCGTTTTAGCGCCAGCGAGAGACATCCGCCCCACCACCAGTTAAAGCTGTTGTAGCAGTCCAAGTGGAACAGCAAGCTGGCGTCGCCCGGGCTGGGTCCCACTAGGTCAGGGAATGGAGGCGCTGGGACCCCCGTCTCCCCCAACAGAGGTGCACCCATAACCTCTACAACATAAAATGATCTCCATTCCCTAGAGCCGTTACGGGCTCGCCATAGCCCGTGCTACATGGACATTTCGTTCAGAGTAGCTAAAAAAAAAAAAAAAAAAAAAAAAAAAAAAAAAAAAAAAAAAAAAAAAAAAAAATCTAGAACCGTGGTCGTGATTATTTACAAGTCTGATTCTTCGTAATAGTCTCTAATAGTCTCCTGAGACTGACGGATGCCTAAAACTACTAGTTCCTCTAGTTTTATTATTACTACTACTACTACTAGTTCCTCTAGTTTTATTAATTTCCAAGTACTTGGCAGGGTGTGTTAATGAAAGCGATCTCTATATAATTACTTTAGGCGTTGTAAAAAGGTAAAGATAAACTATTAAACGTAAATTATATACGCTAAAGCAATTAGTATATAAAGCCACAATAAGGCACATTGCCTAGCTGGTGGGCAACTCTCCTGAGCAGCAGTGAAACATTATAAAGATCAATGGAAGAGGTACACCCAAGGTGTGTACCACCACACCATTCCCAGTCACACACACTGCTCCTAAAACCTTCTTATCTTGAGGTTATCTTGAGATGATTTCGGGGCTTTTTAGTGTCCCCGCGGCCCGGTCCTCGACCAGGCCTCCACCCCCAGGAAGCAGCCCGTGACAGCTGATTAACTCCCAGGTACCTATTTACTGCTAGGTAACAGGGGCATAGGGTGAAAGAAACTCTGCCCATTGTTTCACGCCGGCGCCTGGGATCGAACCCAGGACCACAGGATCACAAGTCCAGCGTGCTGTCCGCTTGGCCGACCGACCGGCTCGGCCGACCTTCCGTTCATTTCCTATCTCCACTTGTCTTGCTACCGCCTGTGTTACCTCACTATTTATCAGTCATCCAGGGGATTACAACAATGTAATAAATTACTAGAAAGAAGACGAGAGAGATACCAAATAATATACACCTGGAAGATACTGGAGGGCCAAGTACCAAATCTACACAGTAAAATAACAACGTACTGGAGTGAACGATATGGAAGAAAATGCAGAATAGAACCAGTGAAGAGCAGAGGTGCCATAGGCACAATCAGAGAACACTGTATAAACATCAGAGGTCCGCGGTTGTTCAACGTCCTCCCAGCAAATATAAGAAATATTGCCGGAACAACCGTGGACATCTTCAAGAGGAAACTAGATTGAACAAATCCACAAGGGCCGTGATGAGGATTCGAACCTGCGTCCGGGAGCATCCCAGACACTGCCTTAATCGACTGAGCTACGACAGGGTTAAAAGGGTTGAAACCGAAGTTCTACTGAACTTACTGGATCCCGTAGCCTCTCCGAGGCACAAACCAGGCTTTTACACCCCCCCCCTGCACCCGAGCTATGTCAACAGGCCGTTCTCCCTCTTCGCCCTTACATCATTACACACAGAGATCACACTAACGTGATGCATCAAATGAACAATGTGCAGAGGGGGGGGGGGACTGTGTAATAGCCTGGTTTGGTTAACAGTCATAACCCACATTCATACTCTCGTTTCTTCTCAGCCGTCGACGGATGGGAAGAAGTCCCAAGAAGTAACCAGTGTCCGTGGTGTAGTGGTAAGACACTCGCCTGGCGTTCCGCAAGCGCTTTGTCATGGGTTCGTATCCTGGCCGGGGAGGATTTACTGGGTGCAAATCCTTAACAGTAAAATGTGTACTCGTTGTTGTAACAACGATTCTTCGCGGGGATCGTATTCCAGGGACCTGCCCGAAACACTACGCGTACTAGTGGCTGTACAAGAATGTAACAACTCTTGTATATATCTAAAAAAAAAAAAGTCTATCGCCACGAGTTGTCTCTCACAGGATGCATCTGGGGTTAGCATGCTGTGAGAGGAGTCTAGGGTGACGGTGCTCAGGGGTTCTAGAGAGCACACTGACTATGAGTGCTCGTACTATACTTGTACTGTGCACAGCTTAACCCACAGTGAGGAGAGGACAAGCCAGCCAAGCTCACACCTCGCTTCACGTAAGTTAAAGCCTTCCCACAGGGCACCAATCAGAATGCAGTTTCAAGCAAAAACATGCATCTGATTGGGCCATTCCCCGAGCCACTGGGCGTCACTGAGGTGACTGGGGAGAGGGAGGAGAGTGTGTTATCAGGAGGGTTGGCGGGTTATCAGAAGTGAGGTGAGCCGCGACCTCTCGCCCGTCACATGTCACCTCACACACCATTTCTGAACTTGGGTAGTTAGATATAGGCGATTACGAATGCTCAATACACACACACACAGTCACAGCCCCGCTCTTGTACCACTTAAGTCCACTACGGGCTCACCATAGCCCGTGCTACTTGGAACGTTTTATTCTCAGTAGCTGAATCTATAAACAGCAGCAGCTCAATACAGAGCAGCCATGAGTTACAAGTGTAGGAGAGAGCTCACCTCCCCTCACACCGTCACTTTTGCCAGCCGCTGTGATTTACAGTCATTCATATTACTATAATGTAATAGTTTAGAGCTCTATTGCATCGGTTATGTGTTTACTGCACTTGCCACTCCCATCACCATTACCCGGTCCCTCACTGTACCGGGAAGACCTTAGCTAGGACAAAGGGGGAGGGACAGGGAGGGGGAAGCACGCGCCAAGGGTATATACAGTAAAGAGACAACACACACATTATCACATTATATAAACTTATATAATGGCTCCAAAGAGCCTCCACTTACGGGCTCACCATAGCCCGTGCTACTTGCAACTTTTTGTTCCGAGTAGCTGAATCTAAAACAACGCCAAGAAACAGTATGGAGTGAGCGATCAATGGAGGAGGAGGGGGGCAGCGACCCCGGAGCGCGCGCCGTGCCGTGGGTGGGTGGGTGGCCGGCCCACCACACCATAACTCAGCCAGATATTACTACCACCACTAAAGACGACACAAGAGGGTGGGTAGTGAAGAACAAGAGAGAGACCTCAGTAAGGATACATTAACTTAGACCAGGATATGACTACAATTATTAAATATAATTACTCACGCATGTAACAACCCGTCATCTTACAAATTACGTCTGAATTTAGCCGTTTGTCCGTATGGCCAGAAACTGACCTAATTTGAAAATGAAAAATAAAAATAAATTTGAGATTTTTGTCCAAAACAGTAAGTTAAGGGTCGTCTGGTAGGTTAGGAGGGCAGGAAATTCTCGTAACGTTTCAAAACGTCACGAAAAACGTTAATTGAAAGTTTCCTCTCCTAACCTAACAGACTAACCTCGAGGATACAAACAGAAAACGGCACAGTACATCACTTTCGTGAGCCGATTTCATTTCATATTACGTCAGTTTTGGGCCATTGTGCGCATACGCGCGAAAAGCGACGTCCCGCCAAACACACACCGAAGCTACGACGTTGGTACAACGTTCGAACACGTTTTAACACGTCCTAATCAGTTATAACAACTTTATTACAAGTTGTAATAAGCGGAAAATAGAGACAGTTACGGTTTGTGTTTCCAGGGGTTATTTAGAGAGGACGGGTTGGTTACCCAACAGTTCTTACCGTCGATACCTTAACACAAGACCACAGCCTTAAATACTCATAACCTGTGTTGATGAAGTGTCTCATGACGTCACCTATATTACCACCACCTGGGCGATGGTTGTAGCCACCACCTGGGCGATGGTTGTAGCCACCACCTGGGCGATGGTTGTAGCCACCACCACCACCTGGGCGATGGTTGTAGCCACCACCACCACCTGGGTGATGGTTGTAGCCACCACCACCACCACCTGGGTGATGGTTGTAGCCACCACCACCACCACCTGGGTGATGGTTGTAGCCACCACCACCACCACCTGGGTGATGGTTGTAGCCACCACCACCACCTGGGTGATGGTTGTAGCCACCACCACCACCTGGGTGATGGTTGTAGCCACCACCACCACCTGGGTGATGGTTGTAGCCACCACCACCACCACCTGGGTGATGGTTGTAGCCACCACCACCACCTGGGTGATGGTTGTAGCCACCACCACCACCTGGGCGATGGTTGTAGCCACCACCTGGGCGATGGTTGTAGCCACCACCACCACCACCTGGGCGATGGTTGTAGCCACCACCACCTGGGTGATGGTTGTAGCCACCACCTGGGTGATGGTTGTAGCCACCACCACCACCACCTGGGTGATGGTTGTAGCCACCACCACCACCACCTGGGTGATGGTTGTAGCCACCACCACCACCACCTGGGTGATGGTTGTAGCCACCACCACCACCACCTGGGTGATGGTTGTAGCCACCACCACCACCACCTGGGTGATGGTTGTAGCCACCACCACCACCACCACCTGGGTGATGGTTGTAGCCACCACCACCTGGGTGATGGTTGTAGCCACCACCACCTGGGTGATGGTTGTAGCCACCACCACCACCACCACCACCTGGGTGATGGTTGTAGCCACCACCACCTGGGTGATGGTTGTAGCCACCACCACCTGGGTGATGGTTGTAGCCACCACCACCTGGGTGATGGTTGTAGCCACCACCACCTGGGTGATGGTTGTAGCCACCACCACCACCACCTGGGTGATGGTTGTAGCCACACCACCACCACCTGGGTGATGGTTGTAGCCACCACCACCAGCCACCACCACCTGGGTGATGGTTGTAGCCACCACCACCTGGGTGATGGTTGTAGCCACCACCACCACCACCACCTGGGTGATGGTTGTAGCCACCACCACCACCACCTGGGTGATGGTTGTAGCCACCACCACCACCTGGGTGATGGTTGTAGCCACCACCACCACCACCTGGGTGATGGTTGTAGCCACCACCACCACCACCTGGGTGATGGTTGTAGCCACCACCACCACCACCTGGGTGATGGTTGTAGCCACCACCTGGGTGATGACTATAAGAACATAAGAACAAAGGTAACTGCAGAAGGCCAATTGGCCCATACGAGGCAGCTCCTATTAATATGTAGCACATCTTTGTTTCAAAATGGATCTCAGATTATCATCACATACAGAACTTTCAGCTTCTGGCAGATATGAAATGGCGAGGAAATACCCGGTCCACCCTGGACCCCCCCCCTCTACCCCATCCGGTCCACCCTGGACTTCCCCCCCCACCCGGTCCACCCTCGACCCCCCATCCGGTCCTGCTTGATACCTGGTTGATGGGGTTCTGGGAGTTCTTCTACTCCCCAAGCCCGGCCCGAGGCCAAGCTTGACTTGTGAGAGTTTGGTCCACCAGGCTGTTGCTTGGAGCGGCCCGCAGGCCCACATACCCACCACAGCCCGGTTGGTCCGGCACTCCTTGGTGGAAACAATCTAGTTTCCTCTTGAAGATGTCCACGGTTGTTCCGGCAATATTTCTTATGCTCGCTGGGAGGGTGTTGAACAACCGCGGACCTCTGATGTTTATACAGTGTTCTCTGATTGTGCCTATGGCACCTCTGCTGGGGCTGCTGGACCCGGATGGGGGGTCCAAGATGGACCCTCCATCCGGTCCACCGTCGACCCCATACATGAACAAAGATGACATTCTAACAACTATCAACAGGGAGGGGGGGGACTACGCTTTAGCATTTACTATTTTCATTTTACTATCACCCGTAAGTGTAAGAGTATAGTTACACTTGACAAGATGTGCTCTACAACGCCTCACAACCCCTCCTCCTCCTCCTGCCTCACAACCCCTCCTCCTCCTCCTGCCTCACAACCCCTCCTCCTGCCTCACTCCCCCTCCTCCTGCCTCACTCCCCCTCCTCCTGCCTCACAACCCGTCCTCCTGCCTCACTCCCCCTCCTCCTGCCTCACTCCCCCTCCTCCTGCCTCACAACCCGTCCTCCTGCCTCACTCCCCCTCCTCCTGCCTCACTCCCCCTCCTCCTGCCTCACAACCCGTCCTCCTGCCTCACAACCCGTCCTCCTGCCTCACTCCCCCTCCTCCTGCCTCACTCCCCCTCCTCCTGCCTCACTCCCCCTCCTCCTGCCTCACTCCCCCTCCTCCTGCCTCACTCCCCCTCCTCCTGCCTCACAACACCTCCTCCTGCCTCACAACACCTCCTCCTGCCTCACAACACCTCCTCCTGCCTCACTCACCTTGATGCCCACTATGAGGCCGTTCATGAGGAAGGTGTGGTCCGGGAACGTGTCGTTGAGGACCTGCAATACAAAACATAACATTAACAACTTTTACAAGCGACAAAGTATTCAAGAAATGTTAATACAAGCAAGAAGTTCATGTGAGTATTACATAGGGGGCCATGCAACACCCAGACGGACACGAGGTTATCTTGAGATGATTTCGGGGCTTTAGTGTCCCCGCGGCCCGGCCTGCATGTGGGCCTGCAGGCCGCTCCAAGCAACAGCCTGGTGGACCAAGTTATCCCAGGTCGAGTTTGGCCTCAGGCAGGGGTCGGGGAGTAGAACAACTCTGAACACTCTCCAGGCAAACTCCAGGTCTGCCATCAATCTGGGTGGCTGAAGCGAGCGTGTACAAGCAAGCTGCCAACACTGTGAATATGGATGAGGTGTCAAGTGTGATGTGAGGCCACAGTATCCAGGCAGACTCTGAGGTCAGGTCTGCCTTGTGTTGTAACTACCACTAGGTAGCTTGTTTGGCAGGGGAGACTGGACTATATTACACACACACACACACACACACACACACACACACACACACACACACACACACACACACACACACACACACACACACACACACACACACACACACACACTGTGCCTACCACTCTCCATAGTGTATAACAAATCACTGGCAACAGGGGAACTGCCAGATATTTGGAAAGCAGCTAACGTAGTCCCGATATACAAGAAAGGGAATAGACAGGAGGCACTGAACTACAGGCCAGTGTCCCTAACCTGCATACCATGCAAGCTGATGGAGAAGATTGTGCGAAAAAAAACTAGTGGAGCATCTGGAGCGAAGGAACTTTGTAACACAGCATCAACATGGGTTCAGGGATGGCAGGTCCTGCCTCACAGGGTTACTTGAATTCTACGACCAGGCAACAAAAATAAGGCAAGAAAGAGAAGGGTGGGCAGACTGCATATTTTTGGATTGTCAGAAAGCCTTTGATACAGTGCCACACAAGAGGCTAGTGCGAAAGTTGGAGATGCAGGCTGGAGTGAAAGGGAAGGTACTCCGGTGGATAGAGGAGTACCTAAGCAACAGGAGACAACGAGTCTGTGTGAGGGGTGAGGTCTCAGATTGGCGAGACGTCACAAGTGGAGTCCCGCAGGGGTCAGTCCTTGGACCTATACTGTTTCTGGTATATGTAAATGATCTCCCAGAGGGTATAGATTCGTTCCTCTCAATGTTTGCCAACGATGCAAAAATTATGAGGAGGATTGAAACAGAGGATGATAGTAGGAGGCTACAAGATGACCTGGATAGACTGAGTGAATGGTCCAACAAATGACTGTTGAAGTTCAACCCGAGTAAATGCAAAGTAATGAAACTAGGCAGTGGAAACAGGAGGCCAGGCACAGGATACAGAATAGGAGATGAAGTACTTAATGAAACAGACAGAGAAAGATCTAGGAGTTGATATCACACCAAACCTGTCTCCTGAAGCCCACATAAAGAGAATAACGTCTGCGGCATATGCGAGGCTGGCTAACATCAGAACGGCGTTCAGGAACCTGTGTAAGGAATCATTCAGAATCTTGTACACCACATATGTAAGACCAATCCTGGAGTATGCGGCCCCAGCATGGAGCCCGTACCTTGTCAAGCACAAGACGTAGCTGGAAAAAGTCCAAAGGTATGCTACTAGACTAGTCCCAGAACTAAGAGGCATGAGTTATGAGGAAAGGCTGCGGGAAATGCACCTTACGACACTGGAAGACAGAAGAGTAAGGGGGGACATGATCACAACCTACAAAATCCTCAGGGGAATCGACCGGGTAAACAAGGATGAACTATTCAACACTGGTGGGACGCGAACAAGGGGACACAGGTGGAAGCCGAGTACCCAAATGAGCCACAGAGATGTTAGAAAGAACTTTTTCAGTGTCAGAGTAGTTAGTAAATGGAATGCACTAGGAAGTGATGTGGTGGAGGCTGACTCCATACACAGTTTCAAATGTAGCCCAGTAATTTGAAAGCCAGTTTCAAATTCCTGAGCCCAGTAGGCTCAGGAATCTGTACACCAGTTGATTGACGGTTGAGAGGCGGGATCAAAGAGCCAGAGCTCAATCCCCGCAAGCACAACTAGGTGAATACACTTCGCCAGCACCTAACACCAGTGACGAGCAGTCAGCTTTAAGCCCAACCACCTCCAACTTTTTAAACAAGTTGGTGTTCTCAGGTAGAGTGGGGGGGGGGGGAGGGGGGGTGGTGAGCCGAGATAACTTGGGGGTGGGGTGGGGGGGGGGGGTAATGTTGTGAGGCACACAGCCTCAAGACCAGTAACTACACGGCTCCACCATAATCATGGCAAAACTCTCCAAAGTATAATCTCACCAGCTCCCAGTCTCTGGGTCAACACCCAGGAGGCAACCCCAGCAGCAGGGAGGGTGGTGGACGTACGAGGCAGGAGGGTACAGGGTACAAGGCAGGAGGGCGCACGGTACATGGCAGAAGGGTACAAGACAGGAGGGCACACGGTACATGGCAGGAGGGTACAAGACAGGAGGGTACAAGGTAGGAGGGTACCGGGTACAAGGCAGGAGGGTTGTGAGAGAATGGTCTCTCAGGATTATCCCACAGCTGACTTGAATGGTTCATTGCAGTGCTCAGTGCACCGATCTCGTGCACAAGCCCCATCTCTGTTAACCCTGGATAGTAATCTGGCATGTTGGGTATCTCCAGGATGCCCACTTAACCAGGAATACGTTTATAATACGGAGGCCGCCGTATGTCCAGGCAGGAAGTAGATACAGGGAAGTTAAGCATCCATGCCATAGGGTCAGAGAGATGGCTGGTGTGAAGCGTGAGAGAGAGAGAGAGAGAGGGGGGGGGACGCCAGCGAGGGATGGAGAATAACTGTGATGTGGTCGTGACGTGTTCATGACGTCACCTCTGCTACTGATCAGGGAACGATCAATATGACTGGTTCCCGCTCTTTTGCTGAAACGCTATTGGTCAATTGCAACCCCTTGTGTTTGTGCCCCACGATAAGCCCTGCACTCTCTTGCAAGAGCAATCACGTGAGGGAGCCCGTACATATAGGACGTGGCCTGTTCTGTCTATCGGCAAATAGAACACCGTCTATTCCTCACCGTCAAGTTAAACTCAGCGTCTTTTCGATATACCAACACTCGGCCGGAATCGCGACTGTGACTATATTGTTTAGAAGCCTGGTGACAGATCACCAGAGTGAAACAGACTGGTATGAGGTAACCCCTGGTGACAGGTAGAGATTGTCTGTGAGTGACCTAGAGTGAACTATGGTAGTGCCGCCGCCTAAGTAACCTGTGTGTGACTATACCACAGTGTATCACATGGAACCATATAACCTGCAGCCGCCAGCCACCACTGCCCATGTAACACTGTAAAAGTGTTTGGGTTAGTTTATTTAAAATATATAGAGTACACGAGTCACAGACAAGGATCTGAGAGGCGCCAGTTGTCTGCCTGAGATCTCACACCTCTAACCGTTAATGACCCCAAGTGACCTGAGGTCAGATCATGATAATTTCACCTTGCTTCCGCTAAGCTTATAATTGTAGTCTGGTAGCCTTCAAACATGCCGACGTTTAAGGAGTGGCTTGGTAGTGCCGGAGGCTATCTACTTGTGGGCGGAGTTAGCTACTAGGTTCCCCAATATAAACTCGGAGAGCTATCCAGCATGAAGCATTAACAGACAGAACAGACAGAACGGCAGTCAGGAGAGCAGAGCAGACGGGAGGCTGTCGGCCGGCAGGGCGGGAGTCTCCGTCAACTACAACCCCCCCCCCCCTCTCTATTCAACTTAGACTCAGTCCTCGGTGAGTGAACATTAAGGTGACTTGTCGTGTTTTACAAGTGTTGTGTGACGATCAGGGGCAGTCAAGTTGTAGGGTTCTCGAATTCTTGGATGATGACTCACTTTGCATATTAAACTGGAACATTTTAATTGAATTGCTAAATTATGATACTTCATGTGAAATATAATTATGAATTTATTATTTAAATTGTGTTTAACTTTGTTCCCTAGAGCTTTGAGTTGAGGATTTGAGAAAGCCTCTGTGGTTACTGGGTTCATGATATTAACGAGTACATGTTTGGAGTTGATACATGGTACAGAGGGAACATACTAATAATGAACTCATGATAACATCCTTTGAGAATTTTGTGATACAGGCAAGTTCCATTCCTTGTCTTGTATGTAATGATCATGAATGGATGGTGGCAGCATTTCTTCTTCTACTATCTACTCTTCTACTTCTACTATCTACTCTTCTCCTTCTACCTATCTACACCTCTCCCTCCACCCCTCTCTAAACTCTCACTTTCAACTAATGACCCTCCTCGCTCCTCCCACCTCTCTCCCTCTCACCCCAAACCCTCACTAATTACTTCACTATGCATTTCTTTCCTTTCGTTATCTCTTTTACGTTTGTGGCAATGATTCTGTATTCTAGAGTTCTCTCTAGAGTTTCGGGTAACTGATCAAGTGACGGCGCCTTGTAGTCTTAGCACCTAGGTAGTCGAATACCTAGGTTACAAGGTGTTGAACGAGAGAGGTTGCCTTAGGAACTCTGGAGGGTGCTCTAGAATAGTTAGCTAACTGAGGACGGGATAACGGACTAGAGAGAGCTGTTTCCCCCGGCCTCGTTAGTTAACTGGGGGGTGGAATAATGGACAAGATAGAGCTATTTCCCCCACCCCCCGTTACACCCAGAGCGTGTAGCTAGTACCTCGGTACCTCGAGCCGCCGCCCTCACTGTACCGTGACGTCACCGCCAGTGCCATCAAGAGTGTGAGAGAGAGAGAGAGAGAGTGAGTGTGTGTGTGTGTGTGTGTGTGTGTGTGTGTGTGTGTGTGTGTGTGTGTGTGTGTGTGTGTGTGTGTGTGTGTGTGTGTGTGTGTGTGTGTGTGTGTGTGTGTGTGTGTGTGTGTGTCTGTGTCTGTGTCTGTGTCTGTGTCTGTGTGTTAGACATACAGCGCGCCCTCCTGCGAGTACCCTCCGTGTCAAGTACGGTTTGTGGGAAACCAGCTGTCAGGCCACCTACGAGTTCTTGCATAAATGTGCCTGAGTGAGTGAGTGAATAAGAGAGGTACCCCACCTGTAAGTACAAGATCTTGTTATTGTATTATTGTGTCTGTCTGTGTTGATCTGAGGGATCAACCACAGTTCTCACCTTCTCATACCTGACACAGGTATAGGTTAAGACACCCCGACGGTGTATGTGTGTTATCTGTGTGGTATCACGACATTACACTCGTCTGTGAATGTGAGCTTCACATACACCACACATTTAGTATTGTGTGACATTATTATTGTGCATGTTATTGCCTGTCCCAGTGACAAGTGCCATTGTTGAGTTATTGCATATCATCATTACCCGAGTATCCGGTTGGAACTCTTGTGATCCCTTTGCATACCGGCAGTTAGGTTTGCCGCGTTAATGATTGGCTGTCAACTGTGTTAAGTTAGGTGTTTTCCCACAAGTGGATCCAAATCGATTAGCCAGACGTCAAGAGTCTCGCTAATGCAACCATAGCCTTTCTGACGCCAATCTAAAGTAAGTCAAGCACACTTTGTATTAGTGGTTAAGTTAGTAAATAAACTACTGTTAAGCTTTATGCTGTGTTTCCGTTGAACCACTTCTGAATACTGCCAACCATTTACTCAAGCCTTCAGCTCCAGGTGTCTCCAACACCGAGTTGCCTAATTCACTAAACTATAAATGTGATGAGGACCCTAGGAGTCCCTTAAAGTGTTAAATCATTGAGGAGATTCCAACGATCAGCGTGGAGCAGGACCAGGTGAGGCTAGTCTGAGAGGAGACCCTCAAGGACTCTACCTTGCTCTCAGGCCCTGTACGGTTGCTCTCGTATTTTCTCTGCTGATTCCGACAGCTTCGTGAAGCGTCTGCCACATGTACATTGGCGACGTGCGCACTGCAGTCGTGAAAGCAAAATAGAAAACCCCACAAGAGTACAAGGCAGGAGGGTACAAGGTACAAGTTAGGAGGGTACAATGGTACAGGGTACAAGGGTACAAGTTAGGAGGGTACAAGGCAGGAGGGTACAATGGTACAGGGTACAAGGTACAAGTTAGGAAGGTACAAGGCAGGAGGGTACAGGGTACAATGGTACAGGGTACAAGGTACAAGTTAGGAGGGTACAAGGTACAAGTTAGGAGGGTACAAGGCAGGAGGGTACAGGGTACAAGGCAGGAGGGTACAAGGTACAAGTTAGGAGGGTACAAGGCAGGAGAGTACAAGGTACAAGTTAGGAGGGTACAAGGCAGGAGGGTACAAGGTACAAGTTAGGAGGGTACAAGGCAGGAGGGTACAAGTTAGGAGGGTACAAGGCAGGAGAGTACAAGGTACAAGTTAGGAGGGTACAAGGCAGGAGGGTACAGGGTACAAGGCAGGAGGGTACAAGGCAGGAGGGAACACTGTACAAGGCAGGAGGGAACAGGGTACAAGGCAGGAGGGTACAAGGTAGGAGGGTACAGGGTACAAGGCAGGAGGGAACAGGGTACAAGGCAGGAGGGAACACTGTACAAGGCAGGAGGGAACAGGGTACAAGGCAGGAGGGAACACTGTACAAGGCAGGAGGGAACAGGGTACAAGGCAGGAGGGTACAAGGTAGGAGGGTACAGGGTACAAGGCAGGAGGGTACACTGTACAAGGCAGGAGGGAACAGGGTACAAGGCAGGAGGGAACACTGTACAAGGCAGGAGGGAACAGGGTACAAGGCAGGAGGGTACAAGGTAGGAGGGTACAGGGTACAAGGCAGGAGGGTACAAGGCAGGAGGGTACAGGGTACAAGGCAGGAGGGAACAGGGTACAAGGCAGGAGGGAACACTGTACAAGGCAGGAGGGTACACTGTACAAGGCAGGAGGGTACACTGTACAAGGCAGGAGGGAACAGGGTACAAGGCAGGAGGGTACAGGAGGTACAGGTACAAGGCAGGAACAGGGTACAAGGCAGGAGGGTACACTGTACAAGGCAGGAGGGAACACTGTACAAGGCAGGAGGGAACAGGGTACAAGGCAGGAGGGAACAGGGTACAAGGCAGGAGGGAACACGGTACAAGGCAGGAGGGAACACTTACGGTGATCATGGGGGAGGTAAGAAGGCCCCAGGCGAAGAACTCGAGGAAGATGACCACGAGGGCGTGGTACACACTCGCCTCCCCGATGCCAGAGCTCTGAAACAACACACAGCACGTTACTCACCGCACCTTACTCCCTACACGGTACTCCCTACACGGTACTCCCTGCACCTTACTACTCCTTACTCCCTACACCTTACTGACTGACTACACACACAGGCTCATAGCGCTATATGACAGTACTGTAAAGACGGGACACCTTGAGCCTGGTTCATCTTGTAACTCCACTACAGTAATTGTGTAGCTCACACGGGTCCCCCCCCCCCTGCACTAGCCAGCAGCCTGGCAGCCAGAGCGGGAGACATGCTAGCAACAGGAGAGACTCTAACACGCCCAAGGTCGCCACAAGTATAAACACCACCAGGGCCTCCCTGCTACCCTACGGGCTCACCATAGCCCGTGCTACATGAACACTTCGTTCTGAGTAGCTAAGTCTAACACAACAACAACATGCCTGCTACTACAACACCCACCACTCGCCTCACAACAGTAACAACAACGCCAGTGTCTCAATATTCATAACTCACAAAACCAGCCCGTCCTCCAATGACCCAAAGTCCATTCCATACACCCGCCAAACCCACAAATGTTTATGAATGAAAAGCGGTTTACACACGACTCACAACTGCTGACGTTCGAACACTTCCGGAACAAGTGCTTCACTGACGACTTTTGTTCGAACCACAACGCTGTAAATGCTTCACCCACGTACTACAAATACAAATAATCGCCAACAGAACCTAAACACCTAATCTAAGCCTATATATGCACAATATGCTAATATTTTATAATATTAATTTATATTTGAAAAAATTCTCGTTTTGAATGAACAGCATGTACAAATTTATGAATGCGTCTGTGAGGTCGACCGCTGGATGGAATGGACTGTAGTCGAGGACGAGTTGTGTTTTTCAGTACTTATTTTGTTATTAAAGTAGGTAAATCCACCTTGTGCAGCTGCCCCCTGGGCCACCTGCGTCGTGCAGCTGCCCCCTGGGCCACCTGCGTCGTGCAGCTGCCCCCTGGGCCACCTGCATCACACAGGGTCATGTCACCAGTGGTCCACACTGGCAACCTTTGGGGGCACTATGAGTATATTACAACAGGTGTGAAGGGTGGTTCCCAGGTGTCCAGTGTTGGGTGGGGGTCTTTATAATAAACCAATGATCATGTTTACATTGTGAGTAAAGAGACGCGCTTCCCTCCTAACAAGGTCCTCTCACTCCTCCTCCTCACCTCATTCAGCCAATCATCGTCTGCCGATTGACTGATGAAGATTAAGCCACCCAACAGGTGGCACGGGCATGAATATCCCGTAATCGTCTGGCCGTCATGTTGTGGAGTAGTTCAGCCCCCCCCCCCAGACCCAAGTGGTCAGTGGTTCATGACGGTCAGCCAAGACCTCCAGACATCTTACACACTCAATGTTGTGTTAAACAAGTCTCACAAAGCCACTAGCAATCCCAACCGTTACAACCAATTTACAACTGTGGAGTGGAGTGTAAGAGAGGGTCACGTGGGTTAAGCACCTTTGGTCCTGGCGAGGTGACCAACCACAGTGATCGCTCAGACTTTCGCAGTTGGCAAGGTGGCCCTCGCTAAACTTCCTGCCCCCGACACTGCTATACCATATTATATGGGTTTACATCATTATTACATGAATACCACTATGATGGGAGCCGGTCGGCCAAGCGGACAGCACACTGGACTTGTGATCCAGTGGTCCCGGGTTCGATCCCAGGCGCCGGCGAGAAACCTATGGGCCACGTTTCCAATGGGTGAATTTCTTTCACCCTATGCCCCTGTTACCTAGCAGTAAAATAGGTACCTGGGTGTTAGTCAGCTGTCAGGGGCTGCTTCCTGGGAGTGGAGGCCTGGTCGAGGACCGGGCCGCGGGGACACTAAAGCCCCGAAATCATCTCAAGATAACCTCTCAAGAAGTTGATGATGAGTGCATTACCGTGGCGGTGTTTACACTCACGGTGGGCAATACGCTCCGGAGGAGGAGGAGGAGGAGGAGGAGGAGGAGGAGGAGGAGGAGGAGGAGGTGGAGGTGAACATCCAGGCTATATTAAGGTGCACACAGTCAAGTGTGGCCCTTGATCCCAGCTGGCACAAGGCCCCGGCACCACCACCTGCCGCCACCTGCACCACGGCCTCACCTCTTACATCTCAATGTTTGCAGATGACGCAAAGCTGATGAGGAATGTCAAAACAGACGAAGACTGCAGGAAGTTACAGGAGGACGTGGGCAAACTAATGGTTGCTGGAATTCAATCCCAACTTGTGTAAGGTAATGAACATGGGAAAGGGAAGAGAGAGGAGACATCTACACTATAAAGGGAAGGCGATTATAGGATTCAGGGAGAGAGATTTGGGAGTGGATATAATTGTAGTACTAACACCTGGTTGATGGGGTTCTAGGAGTTGTTCTACTCCCCGAGCCCGGCCCGAGGCCAGGATTGACTTGTGAGAGTTTGGTCCACCAGGTTGTTGCTTTGAGCGGCCCGCAGGCCCGCATACCCACCACAGCCCGGTTGGTCCGGCACTTTTTTTTACAAAACAGTCTAGGTTTCTCTTGAAGATGTTCACGGTTGTTCCGGACCTCTGCTCCGGAACAACCAGCTGGTGGAATGTACACTATGGTAAGTGGCCGCACCCCCTTGTTTATTATACCTGCGGCAACACTGACGCAGGCACCCCATGCCCCCTCCCTCATGCCCTACCCTCCTCTCCCTTCACCCTATGATCTCCCCTCCCCTCCCCATGTGCGCTGACTCTGGTAGAGCTGCCAAACCTTGGACCTCTGATGTTTATACTCTGATTGTGCCTATGGCACCTCTACTCTTCACTGGTTCTATTCTGCATTTTCTTCCATATCGTTCACTTCAGTATGTTGATATTTTACTGTGTAGATTTGGGACCTGGCCCTCCAGTATCTTCCAGGTGTATATTATTTGGTATCTCTCTCGTCTCCTTTCTAGTGAGTACATTTGGAGAGCTTTGAGACAATCCCAATAATTTAGGAGCTTTATCGCGTCTATGCGTGCCGTATATGTTCTCAGTATTCCCTCTATTTCAGCAATCTCTCCTGCTCTGAAGGGGGAAGTGAGTACTGAGTAGTACTCGAGACGGGACAACACAAGTGACTTGAAGAGTACAACCATTGTGATGGGATCCTTGGATTTGAAAATTCTCGTAATCCATCCAATCATTTTTCTGGCTGACGCAATATTTGCTTGGTTATGCTCCCTAAACGTTAGATCGTCGGACATCATTGTTCCCAAATCCTTGACATGCTGTTTACTTACTATGGGCACAGGGTGCACACACAAACGTCGGCATATGGGACACTGACAATATAAAAACATCGTTTACAAATCTAAATCAGACTCCTTGAGGGTAATCTACACAACATTTGTTAGACCAATACTGGAATATGCAGCACCACCATGGAATCTGCACTTTATGAAGCATAAAGTAAATCTAAAAAAGTACAACAAGATTGATGTCAGCGCTAAGAGGGGTTAAGCCACTAAGATAGGCTAATGGAACAATCTTTCAACCCTAGAAGATATAGAGAACACAACACAAGATACCAAGAATAGATAAGGCGGACAAGGATAGCCTGTTCAAACAGAGAAAGAGGGACATGAAAACAGACGAAGAGCTGGAAATGCAAAGTAGCCGAAGGAATGTAAGTAAATACCCAGTGGTGGTGAAGAGACCTCTTGAAACACCAAGGGATACCCAATCAACCATTCGAACGTCAGACTGCGAGCAGGCGCATCCAACAGCCTAATCATGGAAAGGATGTCACAGGACCTCAAGGTCAGTGAGCATAACAGAGGAAATATAACACCACAGCCAGGACAACTCTAGGGTGGATTAGGAGAACCTTCAAATCCAGGAGATTTCATCACAAAGGTCGTATTTTCAAATCACTTCCATTTCTCGCCTTGAGCATTCCTTGGTAGACACCTCGACTTTTAGAGTAGAAGACCAACACGCATGAGCAAGGTAACCTGCCTAAGGTACCTAGACTGTCTAAACCTCTTAAAATGTTTTCTGTTAAAGAGATGAGAGCCGTCACATAACATATACATGGAAGATACTGGAAGGTCAGGCTACAATTATGCACAATTAAGTAACTTATTGGAGTAAAAGTAATGGAATGAAATGCAGAATAGAACCTGTGAAGAACAGGTGCCATAGACACAACCTGCTAACACTGCTCTTCAACCTTCTCACTCCAAACATACGAAATATTGCTGGGACAAAAATGGATAGAGGAAATTGGATAAATTGCAGAAGAAAGTGTCGGAACAGTTGGGTTGTGTTGGCCTGCAGGCCGCAGCAAGTAACAGCCTTACCGATCCTCACTAAATAAGCCTGGTCCCAGGTCTTATGGAGCCTGGAACCCTTCTTGAGGTTATCTTGAGATGATTTCGGGGCTTTTTTAGTGTCCCCGCGGCCCGGTCCTCGACCAGGCCTCCACCCCCAGGAAGCAGCCCGTGACAGCTGACTAACTCCCAGGTACCTATTTACTGCTAGGTAACAGAGGCATTCAGGGTGAAAGAAACTTTCCCCATTTGTTTCTGCCTCGTGCGGGAATCGAACCCGCGCCACAGAATTACGAGTCCTGCGCGCTATCCACCAGGCTACGAGGCCCCCTCCGTAGAATTCTGGAAATTGACTAGAGGTAAACCTAGACGAATCCTTACAAGTGTGGCCCCGCCAGCATACTGATGGAGACACATGGCCGGCGGAGGTGGCAGTAAACACTGGCAGGAGGCGGAGTGTGGCCCTTAACTAGGTGAAAGGCCACACCAGCCACCCACACCCCTCCCTCCCTCGGGCACGCGCCTCGCATCATTAGAGGCAGTTAACCACTCTACATAGTTACCCCCACCCCCCACCACCACCATCACCACCACCGGCACACCAAGCACCAACACCCCCGCACTCTCCTCCACTACCTTCTCCGCTTCCTTCTCACACCCACACACTCACACACAGTCTCTTGTATTGCAAGT